TAATCTATTTAGTAATAAACGTCTTTTAAACATCGTCCTATCATCTTATTAATATCTGATGAAATCTAAAGGCCACGACTAAATTGGAGAAATATAATGCTCGCACAAGACCATCAATTTGTTCCGATATCAATGGCAATGGGTAACTGTCACGCACGGTATTGGAGTTAAGTTCCCGATAATTAACGCAAAGACGGTCGGACCCGTCTATCTTCTTAACAAGAAATGCAGGGCTAGAAAAAGGCGAAGAGCTCGCACGGATAGTAATAATCTCACGCATTACGCTACGTTCAGAAGGAGCTAACTTATACGGATGTCGTTGTACAATTTTGTTAGGATTTTTTTTAGCTTAATTTGCATCGTGCCCGTATTGACGGTAGTATTAGAATTTCCACTAGTAAAATTTCCTTTATATTTTGTCCCAATTTTTTTCAAATTCAATATCGTAACGCTCAGTTAAGTCGGTGCTAATTTTATCTAACTCTGTATTTATGCTTAAAGTACCTAAGACACGCATTGACACTAGCATCGCGTAAAATCTTAGCGCCGTCGCTATTAAGGGTGAACATCACACCAGGTGTTTTAAATATCTACCTAAGATTAGGTCATACTGGAGCAAATGTGAATTAACAATAACAAACGTGATTTCGGTATGAAACCCATGAACCTCATAAATAGGTAAACATCTTACGAAACAAAAATAAAACACGGTACGAAGCCAATACCTGTGAGATGGGTAAAAAATGTTTCTTTCCTATCTGGTAAACAATTTGCGATTTCTTCATTAATTAGTGAACTTTCTGAACCACTGTTAATCAGTGCTCGCAAACAATAACTGCCTATGCAAATTTCGATTAGAGGTTGCACAAACATTGACCAATTTCGATTGTAAATTAGAATCTTTAAATTTTTATTCTCGTTAAATTAAATAAATAAATCAGTGGCGCTACAACCTCCCCAGGTCCAGGCCTCAGATCCCTGAACCTGTTTCATGATCAGTTAGATTGTAAAACAAATAAAATCAGAATGTCCAAGTTTGTGGCAATAAGAACATCGCGTTCTACTAACTATTGGCTGTTCACTAGATTTATCAACAGACGTGCGAGGGTGGGTACCCTCATTTTTATTTTTATACGTAAAAATAAACTGTCGTTTTAAATGTCCTACCTTATCAAAAAAAATGGCAAGACCTGTAGTTAACTCACTTATTTTAGGGTGCTTAGAAGCATTATATTCACCACGGACCTCACATGTGAATTTCACTTAAGGTTTAATGTTAGGCTACGTATTTAAATGTGACACAAAACTCGTCGGAGTATTTTTTATGTAAATCTGTGCGTACCTTAACATCAGAATTTTATTGGACTCACCCAAACCTGTCTCCAGCCGGTCGATCAGCACCATTTTGTTGGTGGAATATTCAATGTAGGTCACCGCGTGGTCACTCGTATAGTCCACCATATCGCGAAACAAGTCGTGAAACGTCCTAATTCCAACAAACTGAAGAGCAAGTCGTCTCTTAAACTCTTCCCAGGTTTTACACAACGGGTACGAACATGGAGGCCACGACAACAACAGAACAAAAGACGGTAGATAAATCTCACTTGATTTTAGCGTCCTTTTATCACCCACACTCGAAGGCTTCTCTTTGGTATTTTGGAACCCTGCCATAATATTTTAAAATTTACTTCATAATTAGGTGTGAAATATTCACAATTTCCAGTAGCAGGCATTGCGGTGGGCACACAGGATGAATTTTCTATCGATCCCACTTCTGATGTCGGAGATTCAACGCGATTAATAATTACAAAGTTGGTATCACTACCGTCGTCCGACATTATTACTTAATTACTTAATATTTAAACACAGTCAGTGCGCACATCCGGCGCAGGCGCCGATCGGAAAGCAACTGAAGCTCTTCACGACCGATTCTACCCACTACTGACAAATTGACAATTTACAACCTGTAGGATGTCTATGATATTGCGTGGTGTTGCCATTGTAATAAAACAAATTACATCGTGTTCTATTATCTAACCTAATCTCTGACAAGTATATATGTAAACGACGAATAATTGTTCTAAAAGAGGGCCTCAAACCAACCTCGACACTCGAAGCACATATATACGGTACACGCCTACGCACAACGGACCAATTGAGCGTCTAAGTGCGGAAATTGAGACCACAGGCCACACTACTACTACTACACGTCTACGCGTGTCTACGCATGCTACAAAACGACTATACAATGCTACGAAATACGTATTATTCATTCATCCTAGCTTATATTTAATTTAGTTTTAGTTTTTAGAAGTATATATATGTATATACTGTTTTATAGTCCAACAACGTAATTCAATAATACCACGACAAAGCGACACAAGATACAATTAAATCCTACTACGTAACAGCACGCGGCACTCAGCGGTCCGTGGTTACTTATATAACACACTTATCTCCCCAAAAGGCTGTGTTGCTTTGTATTCAGACTGATTGTGAAGGTAGTGAGACAGGTGCAGGCTGATGTATGACTTTTACATGCTCTTTGTACCGGAATCGCGGAAATTCCGGATTCAATTTTCCAACTAGCATTCCTCTTGTGAATTCAAAACGCGGAGGTGAATTTTGTTATCCTGCCAATCTAAAGAACACTTACTATGTATTTTTAGTAAGAGTTTTGCTGAGTCAATAAATGTTTCTTAGTATTTTTATTTTGTTACTTTAAACAAATTCATGCATAGCAAGGATGATCCGAAATGAAGTTAAAAGAAGAAATAATACATGAAGTCGTAAAATGTTCGTTCCCATACGACTCGACCGATTCTTATGAAATTTTTTATGCATATTCAGTAAATCTGAGAATCGGCTACTATATATTATATATCTTTCAAACCCGTGATAATGGGTGTTCACCCCAAAAAAAATTATTTTTATTTTTAGACAATTTTTTTTTGTTTTTATTTTTTCATTATACAAAAATACATAAAACCCCTAATTTTCAACCCTCTACGATCAACCACTATTTTTGTAGTACTATTATTTATAGTAGAAAAATGTTACCTAGAAATAATATACATGGCAAAACAACGTTTGCCGGGTCAGCTAGTTATTTATAATATTTGCGGTTTCACTCCTATTGATTTACCTAATAAATAGGCTTAAAAGGCGACAAATCCTAAGTCTTGATAGACTCGGTTGAAAGAGAGGAGCAGTCTCGATGGAGATTTTGCTCTGAACGCCTAACAGCTCTCAACACATCTGCTCATAGTCTAGCTGACTGATTGGAAGATAAGGACTTACCTATTTAAAAAAAAATTTTTTTTTTTATTATTTGTAGCCAAAGAAGTTTCACTTATGACATGTGTACTTAGTACGCACGCGCTTTTTTTAATTTTTATTAAAATTAGACTGTTATTTAAAATTGAAAACTTTAAAATTTAAATAACATTCATCTCACTATCTTGAAACCAAAATCTTTGAAAGTTTCACTTCTACCACGTTTGAATTGCATACATGTTTTCTGTCGGGCCTGTTCCAAAGGCTTATCGAAAACTGGGGAATATTAATAATATTTTTTAACACAATTGAATACTACCACTAAATAGTTTATTTTCTTGTAATAGGTATCTTTTTTTATTTTAAGTGTGCGATGTTCATACTTGACACTTGACTCGCCAAATGACTAATATTTTTACAGTACATTACTTTTTCGTACCCGCATAAAGGAACATCGTCAAACGCCTTTGTACCTTGTGTTTGCTTCTAAACGTTTTCAAAATAAAAATGCATACGATTTAACAACTAAACTTTATTGTATAAGTAATAAAACTTAATTCACCATTTAACTACATATAGATTTAATCTTCATCAAGGCCATTTTCTTTTCTGAATAAAAAAAAGTTTTTAAACAAATAGACGGTTCTCCCAGTTCTGTCTCGACTTTTTTCATTGACATTCAATCAGTGTTTCTTGCCACCCATCTGCAAAAGTAATTAATTAAACGAACGATCTTCTAAATTTGCGAATATAATTTGATTTATAGTATTTCGTTTAGTGTAGTTTTATTGACATTTTTGTTTTATCTAATAGGAGGCAAACGGGCAGGAGGCTCACCTGATGTTAAGTGATACCGCCGCCCATGGAAACTCACAATGCCAGAAGGCTCGCAAGTGCGTTGCCGGCCTTTCAAGAATTGGTACGCTCTTTTCTTGAAGGACCCTAAGTCGTATTGGTTCGGAAATACTTCAGTGGGCAGCTGGTTCCACATAGTGGTGGTGCGCGGCAAAAACTGCCTTAGAAAACGCTCAGTTGTGGAACGACGGACGTCGAGGTGATACGGATGGTATTTAAAACATTTAAAGAAAACACTTTTTTACCGGATTGAAGTTATGTATTATTATAAATTTACAATTATTTTACATGATTTTAAATTTAACCACCGTGACCACGTACGCTGTAAAGCACGCGAAACGTCATCGATACATAACTTAAAAAAGTGTTTTCTTTAAATAATTTGATTTGCTGATATAAAAATTATTCAAGCCTTGTAAATACGATGCGAGATGGTCATTCGATTTGGACAAATGGAAGTGCTAATTAAGATATGTCTCTGAATCTTTTTTTTCTCAATCCAATACGTTTTTGTCATACGGGAGTCATACTTAGGGATCGTCCATTAATCACGAGAGGCTCGAAAAGGGAAAAAAATCAGGGCGATTCATTTTTCCTTGAACGCACGATTTCTAAACCAAAAGCTTGAATCATCGCACGTATTCTAAAGCCTCTGACTAGTGGTTAAATGCTAAATAACATCGGCTAGTTAACGGACGACCCCTTAGGCCTATGTCTGAATGTTGAATTTTTAAAGACATGTTATTAACAAAGGAACATAATTAGTATTTAGTTTTAAAAATAAGTGTAAAAAAATTAGTATATTAATTTCAACAAAAGTTACAGATTTCTAAGAAATGTTTAGTCTAAAGGCACATTTCACAATCATACTATCGTAAGTGAGAGACTTCTATTACACATACTTTAGGTACACCGTGAACTTCTTCAACGGACTTCACTTTGATATCTGGTGGCTTTGGGTATTTAAAGAAGTTGGGTAGACAACTGTGATACGACAGATTGTATATGTGTTCATCGAGGAATTTCTTGAAGTCCTTCGGAGGGGGATGTACTGTTGCGATACCTTGTTTATAATATAATTATTCACTTAGTACATAATAGAATGTATATATATATATATTTTTTTTTTAAAGACAATTCACACCAATTGACCTAGTCCCATGCTAAGCTGGTGAAACTTGTGTTATGGGTACTAGGCAACGGATATACATACATATTATAGATAGATAGACATATAAATACATATTTAAACATCCAAGACCTAAGCACAACACCAAATGCTCATCACATCGATGTTCGTCTCAGCCGGGAATCGAACCCGGGACCCATGGATTCGCAGTCAGGGGTACTAACCACTAGACCAATGAGTCGTCAAATAATATATTTTATTGATAATTATGATTTTTATTTTGCTTCTTTTGAAAATAATAGTAAACAAGAGTTAAGGACCTATAAAAAACGTGTCTGTACTTATGTAAACGCGTTAGAAGTTAAACTTCTTTGGCGTAACAAGATGAAATCTTTTCAAAAATTTTATTCTACGTTTGTAGAAAAAAACTACACTAACTAGAAAAAACTAAAATGTTAACTATAGCTAACTTCAGGGTGTCGGTTTTTTTATGATGGTGTGCGCGCATCGCAAAAATTTACTCTCATCATTTTTCCCTAACGCGCCAAAAGAAGTATAACTTCAAAAAAGCCCTGGCCAAAAATGCGTAATATCCATATCTCAAAAACTTCTGAACCTATTTTAGTGAAACTTAACTTGATCCCTAAACCAAACGGATTGCTCCTCTATATGTTTCATTTTCAGAGATATTTGTGGACAAACATACATACTCTTACGAAACTAGGCACACGTTCTTGGAAGAGTAAACAGATAGTCATACTCAGATATAGGGAATAGTCCTTCAAAAAGCAAGCAACACTATAAAGGACAAAAAGTAGCTTATCCTATAATGAACATTGTCAAAAACCAAATCGAGAAGTAAATAATTTTACGGCTTCAATGAAACGCTCTAACAAAGCTATTTCGGCCATATAAAACTTCTCAACCTTGGCCATGGGAGCATACGGTATGACAAGTCGAGGAACCCTTTAGGTTGAAGGAAATGTTACCATCCTTCCGCCGCATGACATTAATAGTAAGTGTTAAATAAATATGTTTAATGTAACCTTTTTCGTATGCCAGTGCTGCCAGATCTGCGGCCATAACGTATGAGATTTTTTTAATATCGGAAAGAGGAGGATATATTCTACCTAGATTAAGATCTTCTTCACTGACGAAGTTCGCTAAGCTCTGAAAATAAGTTATTTTAACTAACTAAATAGTTACAATGTATCTGAAAAAATAGACAGAGGTATACCAAAATATGGGTTAGAAATAACTTTTTATTTCAAACGTACAGTTTCTATACAATATATATTTTTAATTGTATTTTATATCTATTATGACAACGTCCAATAGCATTAAATTGAAAAATTACTTATAGTGCCACATAGTTTTCTTGGCGGTTGAAATTGGTACTACCGTCGCCATTTTGAAATGTCAGACTGACATTGTCAGTTAGCTCTCAATTACAACGTGCGGAGTACTTTGTGTTTACTATCTACCAACATCTAATAAAAATCCAACTAAAATGTATTTATTTTTATTCCTTGAATTATTAATTACAATGGCAAAGTTTTAATTATATAACGGCTCTGATTGCTAGGTATCTTAAAGATTTTATGTTAATAGTACAGGAACAAAACCTATCATAGAGTCTGGCTAATGATAAAAGATAATTGAATTATTTGAAAACTATCGGATGGCAACACAGGTAGTATGATTTATTGTCGATTCCGACTGAAGGACTCTGTATCCATGGTTATGAAATAAATTTAAAAAAAAAAGATTTATTGTCTTGATACTTCATGCAATTACTCATTTTTATTTTTATTTCTATTACATATATATTTTTCATTTCTATTATTAATCAATGTGAGAGACAGTGATAACAGCAATGACTCTGACGAATCTATGCATATTGATTTTTGGATTCTGATTTTGATTATTCCGAATAAAGTTGTGTTTTATAATAAATATAGTTTTAGTTTTCCATGCAATGCTAGTGATTTTAAGTATCAATAGTAAAATACTAAATACGTATAGTATTTAATTTAATAGAAATACAGTTACTATCAATATAAAAGATATATTCTAGTTGATAAAAGGGCCTGGGACTAGTGCTAGACAGGCTACTTCTAATTAATTTGAGATATTTGTTTTAAATAAGTGTTGTTTGATGATTTGCTGTTTTAAAAGAGTACCGAGAGTTTTTTACGCCGGCTTTTTCTCTCGGCCTACACCCTCTGTCTTCTTTGCCGATGAGTAGGGATGCCTTCAAATTTAATGACGTGGAATAAGTGATACATGTATCTTATGTTCCATAATAAACATATTTTATTTTATTTATTTTTTATTTTAAATAATATTAAATATTTTTTTATAATAAAATAAAATCAAGTATCAAGTAAGTTTAATCCACAAAATATATCAAACTTTATTTAAGCCTAGAACAGTAGTTTCTAGATACTAGTATAGATTGTTTAATTAAGACATATCAATAAATTATTAAGTTAGCCTGCATGACTTCAAAATATTCCCCTTGTAATGGTTAATTGTCATTAATTACTGGCAATACTAATATCCATGACAGCGACGCTCTTACCGGCCAAGAAAAGTATGTGGCACTGTACTAAGTTTAAAATAAACAAATTCAAATACTTATTTGGAACATTTAAAGAAAAGATATATTTATGTGAAGTCTATGTAGTCAGAATTTCTGCAAATCAAGTAAAAAGATATTCGTCACGTGTCAACAAAACATATTACAGCACATAAGCGGATTACTTTATATAATAAGTAATTTACCCTGGCTGCCCTCAAAAACATGCTTTCCGGTATGATACGAGCGCGTACTGCAATCACTCCCAACGCCAGGCCGGGAAATATGTACGAATTATTCCCTTGTCCCGTATAATATTGTTTATCCTTGAACTTCACTGGGGGGAACGGGGAACCAGATGCGAATATACATTTACCCTGTAAATATTTATTTTAATACAAAAAATACATATCGTCGTTACAGGAGACCCTAAAGCTACATGTAATTAAATCTACAAAAACACAAATCAAAGATAAAAAATTTAATACAAATATACTGCCAAAACATATTCACAAACAAAAAAATTAAAGTGAAAGTAGAAAAAAAAGTACGTGCGTACAAAGTATAAGAAGTGAAACTTCTTTAGCAAACTAATGTTTAACTCTTGTTCATATTTATACCTCTTGTAAAAATTTTACCCTCCTGCTAAAGAAGTTTCACTTGAAAAACTTTACACTGCACTATACGTATATATCTTTACTTTTAATAAATGTCCTTGATCAAATGCAGAAAGCCGAGGCCAGGACCCAAGCAGCAACATTGGCCTTCAGTGGCCAATACAAATTGTTTGTTTGTAAATTGTTTTCCATTAATCTTTTTCAATACTAATAAGTAATAACCAAAGACGATAATTGTAAATTCAGAAATAATTGGAACCAATGATTACAAAATTCAAAGGAAATAAAAATCGCAATTTATTTTATAAATTTAATAGCGCCCCAGAACACATTTTTATCATTCCTTTAAATAAAATCTAAATGCCGTATATCAAACTCTGATTAGATCTGAACTCCGTAGATTCTGATTCCCTCTTCCCTAGGAGATCGTTTATAAGGCATAAAGCCGCTTGATCCGCTCTTAATCATTTTAATTGAATAATTAGCGTTTCTTTGTAAATGTGTGTACACACACTGATACACACCTAGAATAAAACCTATACGTACATCAGTATGGTCATATGCCTCCTGAGCGGAACACTCCGCTCTACTGGTGGGATTCGAGAGAGCGAAAATAACCGGCCGTTCCGTATTTTTCGCCATTAACTTCAGTATCTTCTCATTGAATGCCCCTTTTACTGTAGAACAACCTGAAAAATATAATATAAATAATGCACTAATTATAGTTATAACAAGCGAATGAACTGGTTATTCAGTTATCCAGATGTTTCTTTGAAATTTGTGCTTTGCAATCCTTTGAGTTTGTTGATTTCACAAAGCAAAACATATGCATTTAAAAATCTATACATAGGCAAAAACAAAGCGCCTCCCACTGTATTATATCTTTTAAAATTTGCAACATTAAATTTCATTCGAATTCGTCAAAAGACAATGAGAAAGATTTAGAGCATAAGAATGTTCACATAGTTAAGTCAAATTACTTCCCCAATTTATTAAGACGCTTTTCTACCTCCACGCAATGTCAAGTTATAAAAATACTCAACAATAAGATACTTCTTCTATTATTACGTATCATGCGAGTTCGGTGGCTATCGACAAACCGTAGTTCGACATCTTGCCTACCAAATTTACAGACCACATTTTTTTAAATTATTTTCACTAAAGCTACGGTTTCCTAGAAAAGCGGTGCCGTTATCTAACGGCCGTAATGTAACGTTGGGTGACGTCACCCATACGTTGTCTATAAATAGTAACGTCAAATAGCGGTGATGTCATTTGCATGACGGCCGTCATGGCGGTGATAAGCAGTAGTTCAATGTTTTTCGCGTGTAGCGGTGCGCATATTTAATTAATACAATGACTTGGACGAGCGAAAATGATGAACAATTAATTGTTTTTGTTAAAAATCATGAAGCTTTGAACAATATCAAATCCAAAAAGTACAGACGAAGCTCAGATGAAGCAAAATTTGTGGAACGAAATTGGAATAACACTTCAAAAAAAAGGTCGCACCACCAGGAAACCGCAACTTGGCCACCGTAAAGACGGCCGTTATTAACAACCGTGATTAACGGCCGTTAGTTAACGGCTGGTTTTCTAGGAAACCGTAGCTTTAGCTTTCGCCTTTTTCTTTTTAGGAACGCCCGCGTGGTTATCGTGTATTTAATCAAAAATCTTGCAACCTCTAGAACTAGCCTTCGGGAATTACGCTTTCTATTGGCGAATAGAAAACCGTTTTATAGTTTTAGTTTATCGCGTTCAAACAAACAAATATGGATAGGATATTGGTTTTTGTATGTAAATCATTGTGGTTCTTATAGTAAGGTCTGAGTCTCGGTTAAGTGTATCTAAATGTAGGAAAGCAATCAACTGCTCCCATCCCTGAATCAATAAAGATTGGTATAGCAAAACGTGTGCTTTCTTGAAGTGTGGATCGACAACCTATGTAGCTGAAGAGAGCGGAAGCTTATGTTTAATTACTATCACACCTTACATAGTCTCTGTAAATGCTATTACATACCAATAAGACAGGTAGGTTTGTATTTCGCCACGCAGGCTTCGAAGTTCTTTTCAGGTTCCACGTCTTTGGCAAAATGTTTGCAGTGTTCGGGCAAACCGCTCTCTCTTTTCGAACTCACGAGGCCGTTTATATCGAAGAGATAGATACGCTTTTGAGCATCCTTTAACTGCATTCCGTCTTCGACCATCGCCTCGCATGTCAGGTTTGCTATACCCGTAGCGGCCTGAGTAATATAAGAGTAGTTTTAATTGTGGAAAATATAATTTACTTGTCTATTCTGTCATCAGCCGGAATCGACGTATATAAGAGCCAACTCTATATAGTTCTTAACCGCAGATGGCACACGTTCTTTGATATTTTTACTATGTAGACGATCAGCCTTCTGTCTCACATATGTCGTGATTTTTTGTATTTGAGATATGCCGGGTTGTTTACGAAGTTTCCCGTCACTGTACGAGCGAGTATTAGATGCGCATATAGATAGTCCTTTGGTAGCTATCGAATCCATGACCTCAGTCTTTTGTTTGATGAGAGTCGCAGGCTAAAGCCACTAGGCCACCACTGCCCATACAAATATCTATCCTCATTTGTTTAACTATTAAACAAAATTGTGTAGTACATATGGTACAATTTACTATACTATACTTCTATATACAATAATTGTAAGCTCTATGTCCCCCAAACAGCTTCTGAAGTCAGTGTCCCTTTCATGCAAATTTACAAACAAGTTAAACTATTAACAAATGATTGCATAAGTAATCAAATTTAAAAAAAGCAACACTTAAATTATCTCTAACATACACAGATTAAAACTCCTTATATTAAAGATAATTATTGTGTATGCCATCAAATTAACTAAGATCACAATTGCAAGTCAATCCAGTACTATGCTAATCACAGCAACGTCTATAATTGATGATTATATTCTAATTAACTGTGCGTAATACCTACTTGACATACGCCTAAAGCTCTTGAGTAGCTTTAAGTGTTATTCATATGAATATTGTAGTATATCTTAATTATGATATTAGCATATAATATACAAGAATGAAGAGTTTACAAATATTGTAAAGAGAATAAAGTACTTATTATGCCTTAAATCATTTAAGTTAATTTAAATTAAGTTATATGTTTGCTATACATGCGATTGGTTTTTTTCTGTGGTACATATTTTTTTTATATAAAAAAATAATTTGTGTAAAATTTGTATAAATATTTGTCTTTATTTAAGCAACACTGTGTTCCATATTGTCAATCTATTTTTAACGAGATTCTGGGTATGTTTTAGGTGAGATTGACACTTCTCGGTCTACAAGATTTAGAAAAATATTGAGAGATTGCTACGTTCATACTTCATAGAGTTATTACTCTGAGTATAATTTTGTAAATGGGGAATCAATATCCCCTAGATGTCTTTAAATTTATTTTATAAATTTTTCTTAACAAAAACTCTATTAATTAGATATTATGTAGATAAATCGGACCGCAATAGTTGCCGATTTTGGCTCAGCCAAAACCTTATCAGACTCCTCAAAAAACCTAGCGGTTAAGTACGGTAAAGGAAGAACACTAAACAAATATAATAAATATGAAGGGGGATGTGAGAATGATAAATAGAGGACTATGCCTTATTGTTTTTTTATAACGTTAAAAAAAATTAAATAAAACTTCTTAAGCCTCAAAAACGGAAAAAAATAATAAATTTAAAATAATAGTAATAATCCAGTGTTATTTGGGTTTCGTCTCATTTCTATGATGATTTTTATTTCATAGACAAGTAGTAGGTGATCAGCCTTCTGTCTGACACATGACACTGTTGAGACATGAGTATCAAATCGAACACGTGTCAGACAGACGGTTTCCTCATGATGTTTTCCTTCACCGTACGGGCAAGTGTAAGATGCGCACAGCCACTATTGGTGCACAGCCGGGGATCGTACAGCCTCAGGGTCACACGCTGAAGCCACTAGGTCAACACTGCGTAATTAATTAAATCTAGTTTTTTCTATTCTACTCAACAATCAAAATTAGCGAGAAGCTATGAACGTTGCAATCTCTATTCCCATAGGCAATTAGACAAACATTGACTAATAACAGAATCGTAGAATAATAGATGCGCGCGTCCTTGGCCTTGAACCGTTGAACCCATTAAAAGAGTTCAAGGTCACAAAAAGTAAAATTAACAACGACATTATGTTCCTAGTCCTTTTTTTTCAAAAGAGGGCGCTCTTTAGTTTTCTACTGATACAATATGATAATGTTCTCCAGGCTTGTGTCTCAAGAGATATTAGATTTTAGATGTTCGTGTACAAGTGTATGCGTTGAGACCCAATTTGATGATGATTGATAACATGAGCAAGTACTCACAGACCCAGCTCCCAAGAACATATATGTGTTTTCCGTAAGCTTTTTCTTAGTTATTCTGACGGTGGCCAATAATCCAGCAACTGCTACGCTTGCGGTGCCCTGAATATCATCGTTGAAAGTACAGAAATCGTTTCTGTATTTCTGTAGCAGACGTGTTGCATTCCCTAATGCAAAATCTTCAAACTGTGGAAAACATAAGATTGCGAGGTTTGTCAGACTGAATAAAATAGAAAAACTATACAATAATTATTTGGTTTTTCGTTACTAACTTTAAAAGCTCCTGCTTTTATTATATATACAGTGGTTAGTTATCATAGCGGCAAAATAAATAATTTATAGTAAGACGAATTTAAAAACCATCTAAACCCGAAACTAACAAGAATGATGAAACCCAAAAATAATGTTACCTACCTAAATCTATATTCTACACATAGACAAAATATAAGTTAAATCTTAAAGAAACCTATACCTGCAGAAGAATATTCGCACCAAATCTCTTAACGCAAGCCTCCATAAATTCTTGTACAAAATCATCGTAATCTTTTCCTCGTACCCGTTTTTGACGTAATCCAATGTAAAGTGGGTCTTCCAGAAGGGTCTGGAAAATACATCTATTACTATAAAAACTTGTTTCAGTTCATCCGACGAGGCAATTATGAAAACATTAAAATAATATTTTTAAGAGATTTTTGTTATAGCAAATTTATTAATACTTTTACAAGTACATTTTGCATACGCGCTCATAATCGAGGTTTGAGTATTTCTTATTACTTAGTAACCAACGTTAAAAATGAATGTAATTTTTAATCTAGGTAGTTCAAAAAACATAGATCGAAAAAAATTTTTTAACGCTTTATATGTATATTTGACGTTCATAAGTGTACATTAAACTTAAACTTAATGTTATCTATTATTGAGAGAGACTGGTGCTTGAAAAAGGTTGGGGAAAACCTGTTATTACAAGTCACCAGTCCCACTTGGACATAGTGGCAAAAAGTATTGCTAATACAACTTTTAAAAACGAACAATAAATAATTTATAATAAAAAATATAAAAAATATATATATATAAAAAATATAAAAATGACTTTGCTTTTGTAAACCGCGAAATTTTGATGAAACATATTATTATACACGCAGATCAGCTAAAACATGGAAACGCAAACTAAACAAGGACTCTATTATACATTGTATACAAACTAGCATTTCTGAGAACTAACCCAGTCAAAGGAGCAGCAAGACAAACGTCAACTAGAATAACTTTAGAAACTTGGGATACAGTCCAATTATTCGAAGAAGTTATTCACCACACGGACAAACATTGCAAAAGGAATCGATAGTCATTTGATTTGGGGTTCTCATTTTTAATTGAGTGCTTCATGACATGTGTTCAACAAAAATTCATGAGCGCGTCGTAGTTGTGTCGTATTAAAATTTAATATGCTCTTTGACAAGATGTTAAAAACCATTTCACATTTCTGATTAGTAACTTAATGACCTTCAATATACAGGGTGGTCAAAAAGTCGTGGATCAAACGCAAATAGGGGAAAGATGAGGTCATCAGCTGCAAAAAATTGTTCTACGGGAGGTCTCTAAGCTCAACCCCTGCAGAGTTATACTTATTTTGCGTTTTTATAAGAAAATTGACTTTTTTTTTACTAATTCTTATTAAAATTCGAAAATATCTACATCCTGTATCTTTTTCATAATATCCACTAGATTGGTACTGATGAGTTCTTGCGTTAGACATACTATTTATAGTTGTTTATTGAGTGTATGGAAGATAATATTAAGCTATACGATATAAATTTTTTTTAAACTTTTTGTTTACTTCGGACCCCGCAAGACAGCAAGGAAATCAAAATTAACAATTAATATCGCACTACCAACTGAAAATAAACATTGAAAATGGCTGAAACATGATATTCGTACCAGCTACAATAATAATGAATCAAATCGCTATTTGGTAATCCGACTGATACGCCAAAAAACCGTGAGCATCAGCATATTTATATAACAAAAACAAAACCACGGCTTCGTTAGCACTTGGTCCAAAAGTTAATAAAAACAATAACGGTTAGATAATATTGATACCGCTATTACGTTTAACATAACGCAGTAAAATGGAATTCGTTTGTCTCCTTTCTGACAATTTAAATGCATGGAAGCGGGCCGAGCACGCTTCACTGTCTAACTTAATTTGAATTTCGCACATTTAAAATTTTGTGATTACTTTGAAATTATTCACCAATGTAGAAATGTGTTTACAAATGTTTCTAATAATCTCTAGATATAACTAAAGTTTTATTAGTGATAGAAGGAATATCGTTGTATGTGCGTATGTATTACCATTTAAGGATGAGTCTATTTGAAAATTTTAGGAATATATATTACGCAACTTCGAAAATCTGTGCATTCCACAGCGTGAATTAACATTTACAGATTCATCCATTGATTATGTCTTATAATAATTAACTGCGAAGTAGTCGCATAAATACGTCTGTCTCATACACCATTGAGGGTTCCGACTTCAAAATATTAAATATAGAATTATACACATTAAAAAAATATACCGCATTATCCGTGCCCACATCCAATGTTACAGGCAGACACTGATGAGGCTTGATACCTGCCAATGCCGTATACAATGCCAACTTGCCAACAGGAATGCCCATGCCATAAGCCCCTAAGTCTCCAAGACCAAGAATTCTTTCGCCGTCAGTAAATACTATCGCTCTTACATCTTGTTCTGGCCTGAAAGCATAATAGTCCGTACGTGAAACCTTTGATAGCACCGAATTTAATATCTAGTTAATAATTTGCTGGCATTGACGTCGAAACAAAGAGCCTTGGTGACGTCAACCAACGACAATTCCCAAGTTCGATGTAGTTATTTCAATATCCGTAGCGCTGTTGTCGCAAACTTGGAGCTACATGGTACGAAAACTTAATATTGAAATCGGGATCACTATCGCTCGTGAACTATTCTCTCAACTGTGTACTGTGACTAGGGACTGGGGAAAATAATTTCCCTTTAGACTAAAGTTTAGCAATTAAGGACTTTGTTTTTAAAATATTAATATTTTTAGATTTACGTAAATAGATAAACCTAACGAAATGCTAACGATATTTTAGAAGGAATAAGGCCCGTCGTTACATAAGATGATCATACTATTATTTTAAGAAAACTATTGTTATAGAAAAAGCGATACTAATATTTCGCACTGAATAGGTATTGTCTATTATTATTATAAAATGTGCACTACTCAACTGTCATGGGAAAATGTGCGATTATACAATCTAACAAATTGGAAATATGAATTAGTGTTAAAGTATGCTTTACCAATTACGTATGACTCTTGATATCTGTCCTCGGTCATTAATTGTAATGAATAACCCACGCGGTCGCTTGTAAACAAGACCGAACTTTTGACATGCTAGCCCCACTGTTGGCGTGTAAACAATAGGCAAAAACGTTTCAATGTTTTGTGAAATCAAACTAAAGAATAACTTCTCATTTGTATCCTGAAAGTGAAACAACAACACGATATATTATAAAATTGGTATTTAATTTTTTTGTAAGCTGTCAACGCTGTAAGACACACTCACTACAACTATACTCAAAGTGGTTCGTTAACAGTAATATTCAGATATACATTTTATAAGTTAACGAACACTGATTCCCTTTTATACGTTCATCATAGATTTAGGTAGATAAAAAATCTTTCGCTTGCTTATACTTCTTAAAATCCATCGTTAACTGATTAAGCAGTGAATTAATGATTAACAGCAATATAAAGTTGTTAAAGTACCTATATTAAATCATATCTAGATAATTGTATTAGAGACGATTGAACTACTCTGAGTACGGCTGTTACACCAGATAAAAGGCTTCTCCGTAAATCCCAATTTCTAAATTTAGGCATTAAACTAGCATTTACCAATATCCCTGTCATCTGTAGTTAACTAACCGGCACTGGTGTGTGTTACAAAGTACAATTCTATATACTGCAGTTTCCGTGTTTTTTTCGAAATGCAAAAAAATATATATGTCTTATTCAATAATGAAAATCTTTTTATACACATGCTATGAACTTACCAGCAATTCAGCTAAGTACAAATACTTGTTTAAATCGTTTTTGTATTGGTCTAACGATACCCGACAGACGTTCAATTGTTCCTCTTGCGTTTTATAAAGCGGAGCTAATAAACCTTGAATGCCAAGCGCCTGTCTTTCTTCTAATGTAAATGCAAGACACTACAGAAATAAGAATAATTAAGCGAAACACTTTGGATTTAGTCTGTTTAGATGTTTTAACGGATTTGAGTGATGGGTTGAACGTGCGACTCTTATCATCTCATTTGACTCTCGTGTAGGTGAAGAAAAATCGCCATCGACCCAAAATGTCGTAGAAGGCTGACACACGTGCCTATTAAGAATAAGCTATCAAAGAACAGATAACCAAGACAATGAAGCTCGGCGGAACAAATTTTTTTGGTTTAGCCATTAAAAAAAATTAACAAAGTTAAAAGGCTTAACACGACATATGATCCAAGGGAACATCGGGTGCAATGTCGTTAAAACGAAAAGTCTAAACGGAAATCGAATAATATTATTGTTATCATTTATACTATATCACTACTAAACGTACGAAATCATTTATGTAAGTACACACCTTATTCAGCCTGGGGTCCCGCAAGTGATCCAAACCTCTTATTAAATTCTGCGATACACTGAGTACATCGTAGTTACGACATTGTTTCACATCCAGACGAATTTTATTTTGTCTGATTGACATAACGGAACTAAAAGTTATGAAAATATTTAACCGCTGTACGAAGAATAATAAAGTAACAAAAAATGTACTCACAATACGTTTCTAAAAGAAAACATTTCTTTAAAAAATATATAAATATATCAAACAATGCATCTGATTTTTTTGACATGTATATAGACATGGTACCATGGTAAATTACTGCTGTCGGTAAAAAAGAAGGAAATTATGACATTTCTTTTTTATTATCTGTAATATAATATCCATAACTGATTCATATTCATTACATTGTACTGGAAATGGCGGTACCGTGATATCTTATCTCCCTCATTAAAATGTTGCAAGAAGACGGTACATACAACACACACAACGCTTCTTGCCCAGACTAAGAAGAGTTTAGAAGGATTACTGTCTCGCCTAGAAATAGAAAACTACATATACCTTGGAGCTACTATCCCAAACGGAGGGTGTGATTACAAAAACCGGAGACATTGTGCAATAAGGAGATCCACAATTGAGCACTTGCGTAAAGTTTGAAAAGACAGCCGATTAACTTTTCTGTATTTTCTATATCCCGTGGAAACTTGGTCGGTAAAATTAGGAGACCGGCGAAAGGTTGATGTGCTAGATATGTGGTCCTGGAGACGGTTCCAAATATACCATGAACGGCTTTCCAAACCAACAGTTCCATAGAAAAGAACTTAAAATACAGAAGAATTCGTCGCTTCACAGATACATATATTAAAGATTTTTGGGTATATCTCAAGTAAATAAAATTCTTTAGAGGCTTGTCTTTTCTTGTGGAGGGGAAATGTGCCTGTAGCCGATCTCCAACGCGTTGGACCTATTTAATTAGTGCAACAACTTGATCCACTCTGCAACAGTGCTGTCGAGTTACGAAGGATAAACAAAAATGGAGATCTATATTAAAGCAAGCAGCGGTTCCGGGACTAGAAACCGACCACGACTACTCTGAAGACTGCACGATTAAGAGAATATAATATCTATAGATTATATTACATGCAACATGCGGTATAAATTTTTAAATTTAATTTTCTTAAAACCTTCAAGAAATTAAAGAGAGACTTATTTACACTGGGTAATATTTTGGTTTGATTGTTACTAATAAACAAAACAAACCCCTTAATGTAACAAATGCAGTGGCATAATTTAATGTAGGGAATAAGGACCTAACAGGAGTTTAGCATATAAGCTAGTTTATAAAACTGATAATTTTTTTTTTTTTTTTTTTCTTTCCTTCCCCGCCCCGTTTTTTTTCTTTTTTTTTTTTCTCCCCCCCGGCATTACAAAATATTTTAATGCAGCTATGGCCAACAATCTCATGGCTGGGCAATGTTTGCAATAGTATGGCCCATGATGCAGACTCCCAAACGGCCACACCCCCCGGCAACCACGGGGGGCGGAAACCTCGTCGCAGCGGGGTAGATTAAGTTAAAAAAAAAAAAGAAAAAGAAGAGAAGGGGGGGGGGGGGGGCGGGAAGGGGGGGGGGGGAAACTGCATAATAGTGATAATTTGTTTAGCACCTTGAACAAATGATTCAGCACCTTAAATGTCTTTAGTAAAAATCTACGTAACAAAGCCCCAAGCACATCACCACTTTCCTAAAAAGGATACACTATCATAAAAAGAGAGTGATGAAACAACAAGAGAACTGGCCGGCAATATTGCGTGAATTCGTTTGATGTCCCACCGTACAGGAATATTACCATTGAGGCCAGAAAAGACCTCAATTGCACGACATGCGTTTACGCGCCTCCATAACACCTTGAACAAATGACAGCATATTCAGTAACAAGACATCCATCGATTCGGATACCGTCTTACCATTGAGGCCAGAAAAGGCCTAAACGCATTATAAGCAAAGATCAATAAACGATCCCGGTAATCAGCTCACTGAAAACTAAAACAACGTCACACTGCACTGCAATCAGCTAAGCTTTATCAAGGAAAATAATCCGTCGAAATGAGGATAACAAAACAAACGATATACGTTTAGAACATTTTAATAACATCCATTCGTATTTAACAATTAATAGTAAGAACATACAACTTTCATTCCAGACAAGTGACAACAATGAGAATGAACATATAATTGACCTAATGTACTTAAAAGTAAACCCTGGTAACGAAACAAATACAGAAAAGCGACGTAATATTAGTAAACAATTAAAACATTCAAATAAAATATTTTCATGTTAGTTCCAAACCGTATTATCTATCGTCACAGCAACATAATCACTTCGTATCTATAGATACAAGTTAACATAACAAACCTTGATTAATACTGAACAACTGCAAATCAATTACTCGTTAACGCCGTAGATTAATGAAAATATTTCATTCATGTCAAAATATTGGCAGTACTGTGGTGAGGTCATATGATGTTGTGATAAAAGTTATTATACAACAACTTACTAATATAAGATCAAAGTTTAGAATGAAATAATGAGAAACGAATCCAATGATCGTTTCGCTTAATTGTCATTGGTCAATAATCGTGGACCAATTAGACCCATGCGATGCTAGTTAAGTCAACAGTTGAAAACTGACTGTACCAATAAGGAATGCAAGGATTCCGTTTTTCGTAAGTGCTTGAAATATTTATTTATCTTTAAATTAATATATTATAAATTATTTAAAAAGATCATTCTAGGTACCACGTGATTCATTATGATTTCCAGCTGTCCAGCATGAAACATAGTCAACCCTCGCTCTCGCAGCGATATATCGTAAAATACTGAACACAATTAAATACTATTTCAAGTCGAAATATATAATATTCGCAATCATGTTTCCCATTATAAATAAGAGGTAGAATTTAAACAACTCTTGGAGTTTTGACAATCAAAATTTCACTATAATTTTGTTTTTCCGTATATAGGCATAAATTAATTGCTGCAGTGACTAGACATTGATTTAATACATTTTTTGTATGATAATAAATAATACTTCAAACATTTATACTTAAAATAAAACAGATAAAAAGAAAAATAATACTTGCAAGTATTGTAAATTAATAACAAACATTAAAATACAGTTAGAAAAGCGTCAACGCTAGGTTACAACCTTTGTTTGGTTTTCCGGAAACACACAAAACAGAAGGATAATGAAGATCGCGAATAAGCTAAAACAAGGCCACGTTTTAATACTAACATTGATTTGAACATTAAGAAGCTACAAACACGTGACAACTAATACTACATATGTATTTGTGAATACATTTTAAGTCAATTCTCAAACAGCTATTCAAATTAGTAAAACTATGCCATGATTAACCCGGCTATGAGAAATGCTAGCGAACTATCGCATATTCAGACTTGTAGACTGTCCAAGTATTCATTTTACTTTTAGTTACGATTATTGCGAGCATAAATTAAATAAGTTGTCTGTATGTACCCATTATTACGTGAAATGCCATAAGTAATAAATTTTGCTTGCATTTTTAAAACAATAGAGTTTAGACATTACTCAAATATTTTTAATCGAATGACGCAATATATATTAAGAATAAATTAGTTTATTGTATAGATTCTGAAGTAAAATAAATAGTTGGACAGAGAAAAATTATTGTAAATGCATTGTAATAAATTATTGAATTTTATATGATTCGGCTAGTTTTTCCTTAACTTGAATATTTGAGCGGTAATACACTTTCAGGAAACTTAAAGAAATTATTAAAAAATCACTGGGAACGTGACAAATTTCTCTCGACCATATTCTAGCATAGTACTCTATGGTCTTCTTAACTTTCTTTTCATCGTCAATTCATAAAGCCGAATTATAAATTTAAGTTGGGGTACTAATAAATAGAAAAGAGCTACAATTGATTTATCATCTAGGGCAGAGAGAATCAATACAATCGTATTTTTTTAAACCTATTTTGCAAGTGTAATACCGCCCATAGCTGTCGCAAATTTAAAAAGATTACAGTATTTTCTAAGTTAGAGGTATATAATACTTTGTGTATACTATTAAAAATGGACACAAAACGCCCCGTTAGAGGCACGGTACATCAATGTCTTTAAATTTTATTTGTCATAGTCAATCTGTGTTCGTACTAGGGATTTTAATTAATTATTGGGGCATATAATTTTCTAGTTTCTATTTTATACTTAAGAAAAAAACCTTTGATTTGAACGGTTTAGTGTTTGTGTTTTAATAATTTATATTTAGAAAAAATTAAATTTTTTAACAATTATCCATAGCTAATAAAAAAAGGCGAAAAATTACTAAATACTTAAAATTTTAATATGATTTTACTATAATCAGTAATCACTTTAACAATTTTTCTATGTAATTATTAATAATATTTCGGGTTAATTAAATAATTGGAAGGGCCAGAAGTCGAATACTATAACTCTCTGTAAAAGAGGCCTCTTTGCCTCGCATGTCATACAAACAAAATCCCATAGTCCTGACACAGATTTGTAAATTAAGTAGCATTAAATATTTTTGGGCACAGGTTGAACGGGTCTTACGTTGAATTTCTCTTCGGGTTTCCAATCCCAGACAACGGGCATGGAGCTCTCGTAGTGGAAGCTGTACATCATACTTGAGACATGTTTTGAAAGGTCCTTCGGCTCGGGGTATACGGAGGCGAGTCCTGTAAAAATGTATATAAAATATATCCTTAGTTTGTTTAGCTGTGGCGTCATAAATTTACGAGTCCATTTGCATTGACACGAAATCGCTGCGTTGTTGTTGTTATTGAAAATGTGAAAAACAACTTTATGTCAACCATGTAAGTACAAACTAAATGACCCAAACGATTGACTAATTCCGATATTCTGTATAACATTAGTTTGTTATCGTTTTAATATCTATAGTTCAAATACGTGAATATTTTATTATATACTAGCATTGTATAAGACCTTCTGTCGGTCCGAAGTAGTGGAACACTAAACAGAAGTAAGACAATTATTTATTGAAGTGAAACTTCTTTATCGAGGTTGGAAAAAAAATTTAGTGTAACATTTTTTCGTTACGCGTCACATTTTTCGGTTACGCGCCATGTTGCTTTTTGAAGTCAAAGTTCTTTATCGGCGTTGGAATGAAACTTCTTTATCGAGGTATGGAAGAAATTTTGTAGCAAATCGTCACGTTTTTCAATGATAGTAATAATTCTATTACAATTAATGAAATTCTATAATAATCTTCGTAGTAATAAGGTAAAATGAAATATTTGTATTCATGTCTATGATAATAAAAGCCTTTTGTTAAACTTTATCTAATTTAACGAATTTCTGTAAAGTTGCATATAATAGATCATTTTTCGAAAAATAAGATCATAAAGAAGTTTCACTTCTTACGTGTGTACACCTAGTACACGCACAATTTATTTATAATATATAACTGTCACTTGCTTATGTCCTAAGTTTTTGTGAGAAATAAATAAAGATTATAAGAAAGGCACCACAGATATACTAGCAGACTCCAAGACGGCCAAGCGTTGTTGTGGCTATAGTTGTTATATTACATAGTAGTAAGCTATTCAAGAGAAACGGTATGTGAACACCAGTAATGGAGACCACCATGCTTTTTGGTGGTTATGCCATTATGCTTATGTGAAACTTTGGTACTTTCAACACAGCACCATCTGTTAGAATTGTGACTGTCAAAAAATTAGCAATAAATTAATATTGCGAGTATAAATTGAGATTTAAGCTATCCTATCTTTTAAGATAGATCAAACTGCACACGGTGTGCAAATTTGCTTGAAATCGGTTCAGTTCAGTTAGGAGTCCATAGCGTGACAAACTACGTGACGCGTAATTTATATATATTAAGATTGTAAATATACTGTGACAAAAACTATTAGTTTAATGTTTCCTACAATTTACAAAGTAAAACAAACCTATCAAAAATATTTGCACTCGTTTAATTTAACATCAATTTATTTTCTAAAAACAGTACATTACTTCAATATTGCCATTTCTCTCATCACTCTACTCTACATAGATTATTTCTGTACTTCTAAATACGAATCTTTGAATACTTCTAGCATAACTAACTATAAATCGTAGTACGGATTTAGAAACCTTTTCTAGCAACAAAAATGTTAGTGGCTCGGAAATTGTCTGCCTTCGCAATCGGTATAGTCTGGTTTGGAATATTCTGGCCATTTGTATATGTCCGGTACCTGGGGCTCGTAATGGCAGTTGTATTGACGTATTTGTATGTGACGTTTGAAATCGACCGGCTTTGGGTAGGCGCATGCACACTCTGAGTAAATACAAGGAGATAAGTCTTTTGAATTTTAGAATTTTTCTTTATTCTAAACCTATTTTTTTAGGCATATTAATTATACACCGCAAAAAAAACAAAAGAAAAATCAGAAATATTTATATCGATTGAGTGTATAACTGCATTTAATAACGTAGATATATTTTTATTACTAAGGTCTAACAAAATTTATAGAAACACTAGTGGACCCCACAGACGTTGTCCTGCATGATATTTAAAGCGATTAGGATATTAAGCAAAGTATGAAAGTACCGACTGCAGTGCCATCTGCCGGGCTGATTTGTGAATCTAAACCATTCCCAGATCCCCTTGAACACACACAAAAAATTTCATCAAAATCGGTCCAGTCGTTTGAGTGGAGTTCAGTCACATACACACGCACAGAAGAAATATATATATTAAGATATGTAGATTATACAAAGTTCACCGGATCATCCAGTGCTCAATATAATTTTTCATCAAAGTGATACTTAATGTAATATTTTTTACTGTATTATATTTTTCAGCAATCACCGCTTCGATGAAGAACATGATTACTGTTAAATTTTCAAAATCATTTTTTTTTACCCGAAATTCAAACTAATTAAATATTATAAAAACGTATTGGATTTTGACGTACAAGAGATCGCGCTCTTTCCTGAAACTTACACTGCCTGCTTTATTTTAATTTAATTTAACTTTAAATTAAACATGTAAATATCAAAGGAATTTACAACAAGTTAGACTTGGGAACCCCCAAACACAAATAAACCTGTACCGTATAGAAAAGTAATTTACATTTTAATTTATTATTTTAAAAAAATACGGTAAGAGCTACTTTAAACATAAACTACATACCTTCATCGTACGCCATCTTAGCGACTTCAATTGCAATAGCGAGAGAAACCTCCTTGACTTCCGAGAGAGAGGGATAGATGCGTCCAAGCGCTAAGTCCGATTCGCTAACGTAATTTGCTAGAGTCTGAAATGGACATATTGCAAAACATTACCTTAATTACCATAATTTAAAAAAAAAACAACCGATGTCAACTAAAAAGGAAACTGCATACTCATCTCTAAAACTACTAAACCGATTTTGATGAAACTTGCCACTGTTTACTTAAATATTAACTATTTAAACCATCATATCACTTAGTTTCCGAAAAAAATGTGGACAGTTCAAACTGATAACTTCCATTTTTTCGAGTCAGTTAAAAATCCTGTATCGATATATTTAGTTTCAACTTTAAGTGCTTTTTCTCAACACAAATTAATGTATACAGAACATAGTAACTATTCGAGGCTTATACTTTATTATACTATTACTTATACTAAGGGGGTTTTTTTTTACAGTTGGCATAAAAAGTAGAATATATTTTTGATCGAATTAAGATTAAACGACGAATAAACTGTTCATAATATTTAAAATCAAATAAAATAAGTATAATTTCCACTAAATCTAAAAATAATTTCTTATCAATGACAAGATAAAAGTCATTTAGATTTTCTTTATCATCCAAGATTAACTGATAAAAATGTTTGATAACTGCTATTATGCCAACTAAATAGTAAATATTAGCTTAAACAAGTGTATGACATAAAAATTTTAAGCTACTGATTTTTATTATCATTTAGTTAAATAGCACAGGGTGTGTCACTCCTTAACTTGACGATAAAATGGTTTTAGAAAAAGTAATGTCTCTGGTGAATTAATAAAAGTATTAGAAATGGCGAACTACAATTTAAATTTGAATAACATTTTTATCAAATAAAAATAAATGTCGCCGCTTTGACTGACATAATAGTTCGAATATTTTTTTAACATATGGCATGTATATATCATGTTTTCTTTATTTTATGCTAACATTTTATATTTTTACAGATAAAAAAAATTATAACACAATGTAATATCTATAACTCGAATGTCAACGCAAAAAATCGAGTTAACGTGTTTTTGACTTAACAAGAACGTCGAGATACTCGTACATATGATTTAACTGCTGAATATTCGACTTACATAGGCGCGAGTGTACTTTTCGAATTGTAGAGTCGAATTTGAATAACAATTCAACTTAATAGACAAAAGATGTAATCGTGTCCTGTGCCGACAAGAAACGAATATAACGTTCACAGCTGTGTTACTTAGAAAGTTTTATGAATGTGTACAAGACAAAATCAATAGATTAGAAGCCCCGAACTCATTCATTTTGGAATTTATTGCTATTTATCGGGAAATTCCAAGTAAGTCTCTTTTTTGAAATTCACGTTATGGAGTATAAATATGTACAATAATATTATATACTGGCGTCGGCAATGCTGTTGTACCAGAATCTCTCAAAATGAGGAAAGAGAAATCTCGCACAAGCACAAAAATATATATATATACATATATATAATAAGTATTTGCCGATTTTTTATAATTAATCAAGTAAAATTATCTTTGGTATCACAAGTAGCAATACAAATTTTTGGTAATAAATCTATAACTTACCCTTGCAGCAGTAAGGAACATAGTCTCGGGTATGTGATGAGTAGCAGTCGCAATGACGCCTAACGCGATTCCGGGGAAAATGTACGAGTTATTTCCTTGACCTGTGTGGAACTCTTTACCGTCGTATTGTACAGGGGGGAAGGGAGATCCAGATGCGAAGATACAACGACCCTGGAAATATTGGTATTTTATACTATGGCTGTGTAAAAAGGCTTACTATAAAGTTAACGATTATCTAGTTGATAAAAGGGCCTGGGACTAGTGCTAGACAGGCTACTTCCATTTGATGATTTGCTATTTTAAAAGAGTACCGAGAGTTTTTTCGCCGGCTTTTTCTCTCGGCCTACACTCTCTGTCTTCTTTGCCGATGAGTAGGTATTAATAATTTAATGACGTGGGATAAGTGATACCTGTATTTTATGTTGCATAATAAACCTATTTTTTTTTTTTACTTTATAATTTCTAAGGTATCATGACAAATCTGAACTAGATTGAAATAAGTATTTTTTTTATTGAAATCTACTATACGTGGATATGGGACTGAGAATTCTAAAGCAAGACGGTAAACTTCTGAGCAGAGGAAGAAAGGCAAAGAACAACACAGAGTTTGCAAGATTGTTCCTTATTCTTAATACATGTCTATAAAAATAAAAACCTTACATATTTTTATTGCACCAATACTGACTTATTTATTTATTTACAGCAAAAAAGTATTATAATAATAATCAGTAGCGCCACTGATTACCCTCTTTAGGTCTGGGCCTCAGATTTCTGAATCTGTTTCATGATCATTTAAATCTAATAGGCAAGTAGGTGATCAGCCTCCTGTGCCTGACACACGCCGTTGATGATTGATGATGATGATTTTTGTTGACTCTAAGACACGTCGGTTTCCTCACGATGTTTTCTTTCACCGTTCGAGCGAATGTTAAATGCGCACATAGGCAGAAATTCCATTGGTGCACAGCCGGGGATCGAACCTACGACCTCAGGGATGAGAGTCGCAGGCTGAAGCCACTAGGCCAACACTGCCACAAAAAAAGTATTATAAAAAGTGTTTATACAATTAAGGATAATTTTATACAGTTAGCAAAAAACTGGCTATAAATGATGTTTAAAGCTAAAGCTAACTTACATCAGTAAAGTTGTATGCATCCTGGGCGGTACATTCCGCTTTACTAGTGGGGTTGGACAACGCGAAGATAACTGGGCGCTCAATGTTCTGGGCCATCTGCCTCAACACATTTTCATTGAAAGCGCCACCTACCGTCGAACACCCTGAAACAATCACACTGGGTTAGACCAAAATTCAACGGAAATTAAGACTCTCTAAATATTTATTTAGATATACTACTACTACCCAAACAGCTAATAGCCAATGAGATAGTCGTGTTACTTAATTACCGAAACATATTTAACGTCGTTTTTGCGACGATCCTTTCCGAGACAGTAATAAGCACTCACAACGCCAGGTGCCATAAATTCGTTCTGCCTAGGAACTGCAAATAATCTTCATTTCCACCGTCTCAAATAGCCGTTTGGTACAAATAAACTGAGTTTTTGCAGAACTAGGATTACTAATAATTCCCCGTACAATTTTAACAACGTAGCAGGGCAAGCTATAACTCCCGTCGAGTTTCTAGGTTGTTGTGTCCAACTATCTCTACCACAGATCAATATGACTGAACCGTGTTTTAATATGACCTGGAACTCTATTAAATCTACCAGCTGTCTATCGTTCAACGAGAGTTCCTTTTTTTAAATGTTTCTTTTCGCAAAACATTATCGTTTAAATAGTATTGTCTTAGATTAACATAACCATTACACATTTAAAGAAAAAACTTTTTACCGGATTAAAGTTATGTATTATTATAAATTTACAATTATTTAACATAATTTTAAATTTATCCGACGTTTCGCGTGCTTTACAGCGTGCGTGGTCACGGTGACTATATATACCGTTTACCGGTAAAAAGTTTTTTCTTTAAATTATCGTTTAAAGTACCTATTATTATTTAAACAATTTAGCAGCCGTTAGAATTATATGCTTACTTGCCTATATTTCTCTCAAGTCAGTGTTAAATTGTATTTTGCATTACAAATTTTTTTAATGTGTCCACGTAATATTAATATTTATTTCGATACAATATAAATTGCATGCCATATTACATATAGAAAAATACATAATTGCATATAGTCAATAAGTTAAGGTAAACAACGAATCCTAATAAATCTGATATTAATCCGGGCGTTAAATAGATAACATTAATTAGGCACCGATTAAACAAAGTTACTTTCGTTATTATATTTTTTAATAGTAGCATTATGACAACACCGAACAACAATAAAAAACAAAATATTAGTAGTATTTAAAAATAGAACGATATATCGACTTACCAATAAGACAGCTAGGCTTGATCTTCGCTATACAAGCCTCAAAGCTCTTCTCAGGCGCAATGTTCTTTCCAAATGCCTTGGCGTGTTCAGGTACGCCTCCTTCCCTTCTTGTCGATAGCAGACCGTCGACATCAAACATATAAACTCTGTCCTGGGCTTGTTCCTTGGTAAGACCTTCGGCGACCATAGCAGCAACTGTCAAATTTGCAATACCATTGGCAGCCTGAAATTGAGAAAAAAATTCTGACATATTATTACTGCAGTCGCGTAAAATATTTTTTAAATAGATAAAAAAGGGCCTTATTCAGGACCTTCCTTTGGTTCTTACACACAAAATACTCGTTAATAGTTAAAATCGCAAACCATTATCATATTTATTTATTTATATGCGAGTCAACATTTAAAGACAAAAAACAAAGAATACCTTATTTCTGTATATTTAAGGTTACTTTGGCAAATCACTCACAGATCCAGCACCAAGGAAGAAATAGATATTTTCACTGAGTTTCCGCTTTGTCACCCTAATGGCGGCCATCAAACCGGCGACGGCCACACTAGCCGTGCCCTGGATGTCATCATTGAAGGTGCAGTACTTGTTGCGGTACTTCGCTAGCAAACGACCAGCGTTGCCTAGCGCAAAGTCCTCGAACTGTAAAAGGTATTAGATGAAGGATATAGGTAGACGTAAAGCTAATTTATTTATTGCTTAACAATTGTAACTAAATAGCATTCAGCTTTGTACAGTACAGCAAAGAACAATTTAAAAATAATACAACGGTTCCAGAACGCTAAAACAGTTTGCCTTATGTGAATGCTGAGGCAATCCAACTTCTTGATACAACAGGAATCAAGAAGAAGAAGAAAAAAGAACTCGTGTAGTGATAATTAGTGCAAGTGCGGTATCACGGACACACGAACGTAATGTTAAAACATTATAGAACACTAAGACTGTTAATGAACATTACCTTAGTTTAATCTATTTATTAGTATTGTAGAAAATTAAGTCAACATAATATTACTTATTAGCCATAACTATTGTAATTCATGTAAAGTCGCACTCTCTTTTGTGAACTTCGTTGGAAATCGTTGTGATTTATGATAATAACAAATACAATTATTAATACAGACAATAAAGAAATATGCTATGTTATATTTTTATTTGGGATTTATTGGAATCATTAAGTAATTTAGGGACAGCGTCTTATAAATCGCCTAACAAAGCATATGTCTCGATTAGATAAAAAAAATATTTTATCAAAAAAAATCTAAACACAAAACATAAAGGTGATGTGATGTATATCGTGAATAACGTCATAATTCTTATATAATCAAATCCTTGACCGTGACGCATAGCAACTCGTATCTGGTTCACACTGATTTCGCTTCACTGTATTCCGACAATTACGTACAATTTGGCTTAACTACTTAAATTACTATAACTTACTGGAATTATCGATCAACTCGAACAATATTCTTAGAATCAGTCAAGACTAATCAATTACCTATAAACAATCATATATTTAAGTGTGATAATAGAAAGAGTTTGAATAAAGATTTGAGTTTGAGTTCTGAAGACGTAAAAATATGTATTATGGTGTACATAATTAAAAATTTATTAAATCCTTATTTGACGAACATTGTTTTTAACACATATTACTAAACATAGAAAATGGGATCTTAATATTGGTACATATTAGGTCTTTACATATAACATTGGCGTTTTGTATGGGAGAAAAAAAAGTATTTTTTTTTAAATAGAATATATTTAATATATCAAAGTATGTACCATTGCGTAGTTCATAGTTCATTGATCTCTTTATAAAAAAATCATTCGGACGCGAATCAATAAAATCTTTGAAGGCGGTTTCGAGTGCCCCATTAGAGTCGAATTTTTTACCTTGTAAGGAGTTATCCAAATTTTGAAAAAAAATTGTATAAATCTGTTGTAATTAGGTTGTTATAAGGCTGTGCAAATAGCTGTATGTTGGAATTAAATCATATAAGACCTAATATTAAAACAAGCGTAAGTTATTTCTAACCATGGATAAGTTACGCATTATAATTAAAAGTTAATACAATGTAAGATTAGGTAAATTAACCACCTACCAAGCTTGCTTACGTAAACCATAGCTATTATTTTTCGTCAGTATTAAACTTGAATATTATCTAAATCTCTAAACGATAGCGCAGATCGATAACGGTTCAATGTCAACAGGTAGGAATAGTAAATTACGAATCTAGAATAATAAACAGGAATTTTAAAAGAGGCGTCAGTCAGCCTAGCCTATTCAAATCAAATCAAAATCATTTATTCATATAATAGGTAACAATGTACATTTATGAACGTCAAAAAAAGAAATACATATTAAATGCTTCTAATTTTACATTTACTATTATGGCTACTGGCAGGATATATGCAATTTAATACATAAGTACATAAAGAAAGTACCACGCTAAAATTTCCATATCATAAAGACTTGAAAGCATACATATAATACAATCATGATTAATAAGAATTGCGAAGTAATATTTACTCCATAGTCGTTTTAAAGCAAAAACAAAACTCACAACCCGGTGGCAAGAGAACTGACCGAGGCTGTGTTTGTGGGAGGGAATTGTGAAAGACTTCGAAACAATAAGTGCTCCAAGTTGGAAGCAAGAATAACGAGATAAATGGCGAATGATGCTTGTGGACCGCTAAGGCCTATATGGGGCTGCAAAGCCATTCGATGATCATAAATTTTAGAGGAAGATTTTATTACGATATGTTTTTCAACAAAGAAAATTAATAACACAAAGCAGAGGCACACATAATTAATAATTAGATAATATAAATAATTAATACTTATCGACACTCAATTCTTGGAGAAAGAATAAACAATATGCGTTATGGGTGTAAAAAACTGTATATAATCTAGCGTAGGTCCAGCCTAGACCTATCACAAAACGTACTCGAGACCCAGAGACATATATTTTAAGAAATGGACATTATAATTATTGCATTCAATAGCAAGGCGTTAAGTGACTCCTAGACGGACCATTTATTTGCTAGCGGATAGCTGAAAGGGTGTGGCTGGTTGCATCAGCCAGCATTTAAGGCTAGACTATGCAATACTCGGCCATTGTTTGAAAGTCGTGTAGTGTTTTAAATAATCGTTCATCGAGTCTTATTTCCACACTTAAAATTTCTAATGTATCACGCCTATTGAAATAAGGTCAAAACGACATTTTTCTTCGTTTTTTTTTGTTTTGCCTATGCTTTTAAAACGCTGCTGCAACGCGTATGATTCCGTCCGCCATTGCAGCCATAAGTATAGCCAAGCCAATGTATGTAGACCGTGTAAAGCAGTGTTGCCAGATTTTTTTATTGTCAAGGCGGGATTTTGTAACTTTTTGAGTTAAAAAAGCGGAAATCTCTCGTCGATAGCGGGACATAGTAACTAAAGGTGATATTTTCAATCAGATTTACCCTATCGTTAAATACTTGTCTTCTTAATAAAAAAAATGAAATAAACAAAACTAAACCAAAAAAGTATTCATTAGACAGTTATGGCGTTTCAAATAATTGTCAGAACGGAGGAATGAGTATATGATATACCTGGTATCTCTTTTTGGTAGCTGTTAAAAGAGCTGGTGCCATTTCTGAGCATGGCAGTGGTGTCTTGAGTTAACCCCAAAAAGCGGGAAAAAGTCTGTCCCGCGCGGGGCATTTCATTTTCATTAAAAAATCGGGACGTCCCGCCAAAATCGGGACGTATGGCAACGCTGGTTTAAAGACAAAATAATGATATATCCGAGATATACATTTTTCAGCCATGTGCTGCATTAAAATGTTTTTTGTATTTTCGGGATATAGTCGGCAATGATGTAGCCACATATTTCGATAAAAGTGTAGCCCGTGTAGAGGCCCCTTTAGACCAGGCAAGACTAAAACAAAGGCCTAATATAAATTTTATCATTTCATGTTCGACCATAACATTCTCTATATTTGGTATCTTTAAACAGCTTCCTATCTTTGTTTTTCGATTAATAGCTCAGCTTGCTTCCATTGCATTATTGATTTAAATACCTCTGTACAGTGAAAATTGTTTTTAGTTTCCGATTGTCTTTTACTTTGCTTGAAATCAGAATTATTTATGCAAAGAAATGTACATACATATAGTATGAAAGACGTTGATAATGTTATTTCATATTACAACGTTCAGACACCTCACTAAAGAAAAGATAATTTTGTATCAAAGTGAAATTCGTGTTTTTATAAATTTGAATGGATGTCTACCTCAATTCAAAGTGGTTCCACTTTCATGGTCATGGTATAAATATCTCTCCCTCGCTTTAGTTAGGGTCCTTAATGGGATCAAGTATCATAAATCATTCGTAAATGCAGGTGTATGCAGTTGTCCATAGCACAGCTTGTAATATAATAATATAATTGTATTCAAATGAAATAAATGTGAATTTTCCTATGTTGACCCCAGTATTGTCTATATTTGGTCTGTCATATGGTTCAGTCATATTCTAAACAGACACTACTCATATCTTACTCTTATTATAGTGCACGTTAATTATTACAATATTATTATTTTTCACATCTCAAATTCCTGTGTTCCAGACAATATTATGGCAAAATATAAATTATGCGCGAGTGTTCTGGTAGCAATCCACAGGTTTAAATGTAGACATTATAAGCAACCTCTTTCAAAGCTTTATATGTATGACTAATCTTTAGTTTTCATGACTTTTATCAATCTATAGTCATAAAAACAAAATCAATGAAATCCCAGTATTTGCCAAAAATAGACGAAAGACTACTTTATTTAGACGAGTTTTTCATTTATGAAGTAGCCAATATTATTACTGTTTATAAAAAATATAGATTAACAATGTCAATAAAATTTGTTTATAAAAAATATTTGGTGTATGTACGAAATTGAAAATCATTAATTACTATTTACATTTAATACGTACGATCTAATAAATAGAGTACGCTGTCCGTGAATAGTTATTTTGAACTAAAGGTAAAATGCAATTGTAATATTAAATGCAAGGTTAGACTCATTTACGATAATAGATATGTCACATTGTATATTTAAATATAAATTAGAGAAGAAACCGGATATAGCTTCTTATTTTGAATAATCACAAGGTAACAGAAGCATTTATGTTTTATTAACTTCCTTATATTTGGTCTTACAAATAAAAGGAAAAAAATAATAAAATCATAGACAACAGATTTAATATACAAAGAGATTACACTAATTTTCAGTTAAAAACCTGGGATGTCTTCTTTTATTTAAAAGAAAATACGATTGTGGCGGCATAATTTTATGATAATTTGAATTTAGAATATTAACCTTACTAACTTTGATCGCGAAACATCAGGAGTACTAAACAGGAAAACAAACATTACAAGTTTTTAATTAAATGTTTAAAGCATAGTTTCGTATACATTAAATATTTGTGTAATTTTATAATTTGTTGTATGCCTAATGACGCTTTATTATTAAGGATAAACTACATAATATTGCAACTGCGAGAAGTCTAGGTTTGCTTATTGCCTTCATTCCTAATTAGCGGCGCATCCCGACTTCGCACGGATGGACATTTTTTTTTGAACATTTTTTGTGAATATTAATATGTTCTTTTAATATTGAGGAACATTTTTTTGTCCCCCAAAATTATTGTAATTTTAGTACGGATCCTTATTTTTTTCTTGCATAATAGCATTCAAATGGTGAAAGAATTTTAAATCGGTCCAGTCCTTTTTGAGCCAATCCGTTACAAACATACTTACATACAAATATTTCCTCTTTATAATATTAGTATAGATGACTCGATGATGATGATTAAAATATCGATGAAGAGAAAATCGTTTCATTGGGGTTAGGGAAAATCACAATCATTAGAATTTCCTGATAATTTCGATTTAATACTGTCGTATCAAAACTGATAAGCCAACAGCTGATATAAGATTGCAAACATTATCAATATTACATAAATAAACGCAATCTCACCTTGCCATACAATCAGCGTGATCATTTCAAAGCCCAGTATTAGAGGTATATTGCCTCTAATATCAATATACGTAGACAATACATATTGGAGTTGTTACCACGTACAATACGCAATGCTGTATTGTGAAGCAAGTTTAATACTTTGTTGTTGATAAACTGATACATCGTAGTAAAAATTCTTTGAACAATTCTGATGCCTATCGACGCATTTCCGCACCAATACATCTAGAACGGTTGAAGAAAAGAACGAACCACTGGAAAGCATTATTGATGTAAAGTCGTATAGGAGGACCACCAGAAGGAATGAAATTTTTCATACAACTTAACCTGAATGAAATCAAAATTTTTTCGTTTCGTATTCATAGTTAAATTCTTTGAACAATTCTGATGCCTATCGACGCATTTCCGCACCAATACATCTAGAACGGTTGAAGAAAAGAACGAACCACTGGAAAGCATTATTGATGTAAAGTCGTATAGGAGGACCACCAGAAGAATGAAATTTTTCATACAACTTAACCTGAATGAAAAAAAAACCTTTTCGTTTCGTATTCATAAAATCACACTCTATGATATATTCAGATCGAATCGCTTTACACCTACTTATACAGGCCTTCTTAGGCGCCTTGCATGGCTATTGACATTGCAATAAATGAGATTACACCCACTATACAATTTAATTTTGCATGTTTCTTACACATGTGGAACATAGTTAATTTATATTTTTCACTGAAACTGAGACACTACTAGCAAACAGTAAAAAAGTCTATGTCGAATTTCGAAGTCGAAACATTTTATTTTTATTTTGAATTGAGTTTATAGTAGCTAAAGAGTGTTAGTTATACTTTGCATACAAACATCGAGAAATATCTTATTAACCGTTGACGTTAGTGGTTAAACCACTGGAAAATATAATTTCCGAAGATTATAAAAAAAGTTTTCGCTACATAAGCAAGCAGCCTTTAAGCTGATATAACACATCACCAATCATACAGTACTATTGTTATTATGCATTGTATACAAATAAAACTCTGTTCATGTTCAAACTCGGGCCATTTCAATAAAATAATACGAGCAATAAAAGTTTAAGTCGTACTCAAAAAGCTTCTTAATAAACGTGCTTACTCACGTCTACTGTCTGGACGAAGCGATAAAATTGGATTCAATTTACCGTTTAGTATTTGGAATACGAAATAGCGAGAGACATTATCTAGACTGATACAGTATAAAGAGTATAATCAGTAACATGTTATATTGCAAATTTTCAAACTCGTTAGGTAAAATATTTCGTTCATGACAAACAAAGTAGGTAACTATACTTTTACAGTTATCTGCTTGTGTTTGACTTTATTAAATTTCAGCCCAGCGTAAATTTAAATGCAGTATTTTTCTGCATGACTTAAGGATACTATTTCAATTTTCTCCAAGTTAGAATTTATAACGAACAATGCATCGTATACCTTTTTATAATTTACGCCTCTTGTTATTTCTAGTAAATAAAATAATGTTAGTAGACCTGTATTTCGTCCAATGATTTCTTTTAGAAATTGATATTGTGGCTGAGTTCACAAGAGTTGCTTATTTTATTATTAAATATAAGGTACGTATTTTTGTTTTTGTTAATTGTATATTTAATTATAGAATTTTTCAAGTACATATTATGTATTATTGCAAAGTTATATCTTATTAGTAATAACTGTAAAATAAAATAATAAATCTTTTTACCTGTATTTGATATTTGTTTTTGAATGTGTGTAGTATATAGCTATTATTAGCTATATGAATACTAAAAATCAAAACACACGAATGCGATAACCAATGCCGTAGGCTTAGTGATTTCTTTTAAAATTCCACCGAACGGTTTTAGGAGTGTAATATAATATTCACAGACTATAAAACTCATATAAAACTGACCTGGAGTAATGTGTTCTGTCCATATCTCTGTACGCACGCCTCCATGAACTCGTCAATGAATTCATCGTACTCCTTGCCTCGCACGCGCCTTTGACGAAGCCCGATGTATAGTGGGTCTTCTAATAGATCCTGTGACATATATTTACCAGTTATAGACCAACAATAGAGCGGAAATAGAACCAGATTATATTTTTTTACTATATGAAATAGAAACAGCTAGTACCAGAGTCTGGTCTAATGGTTATTTACTGCGCATCATTTTATTTATGTCAATAAATAAATGATGTACAGTGAAAGTACAAATTTTTCACATTTAGTATCTACGGAACGGCCCCAGTTTGGGTAAAGAGGCGTTGGCAGTTCGTGGCAAAGGTGGGCGGATGATTTCCATGATGTTGCAGAATGTGGCTGTACCAAACAAAAAAAAACAAAATTGGAAAAATGGAATTACCCAAGATGGGTTTTAATATAAACACTATTAACTTAATTTAAGCCAGATTTAAAACTACTAACTTAAACTGTCAAAATTTAGAGTAAATAAAAAAGCCTATTATTATTCGTACGAGTATTGTCGAATTATTTGGTAACAGTATCAATATATAAAAAGTTAGGCTCAAATTAGACTATTTTCCGTCATAACTTAATTTTTTTTTAAATATATCTGATTAAATAGTAAATTAAAAAAACCTATTAGGAATTTTAAGCAGCCGCACATGTAAGTTCTCTGTTCAGCGCCGGTGCTTAATTTATGTGCAATTTCGATGTAGTTAGATCAGCGCATATATCACCTTTGGATCAAGTGATACAACAGGTATGAAGGGATCTCAATCAATATCGATATTGAACGTTACAGAGAACCAGTACGCACGCGTAAATCTATACGCGTTATCAATATGTTATCTATCTAATATTATACGTCGTAATAGCATACTGTTAATAATTCATAGATACAATTGCGAAAAAATTTAAAATACTGTTTATTTTGCTTATTAGCTTTGAATTCTTGCCAAAATAACAGGGTCATCAAAACAAAATACGAACTCGATCGATATGAAATAGCTTGCATTTGCAAACATTGAAAATTTATAGGTGGGCAAGCCCTTTATAGATTAATACCATTAAGAGTTGATACATAGTCGACATATACAACTTGTTTAGTTATAGAACGCATTATTACCAAAGTACGCATATAATTATTATCTTTAATCCCTCTATATTATCTGCATTTTATGAAGTGATGATCAAGGCTATTTTTTATATTATTTACACATTAAATATTTCACGAAGAATCATTCCGAAAATTTACAATATTCATATAAAAGACCAGGATTCAAATTATGGACGATAAAAATAGTCCATTGCAGACAAATTTCCAGTATTAGGGGAGGGAGTTATTACTTCCTTGGTAAAGACATGACTTAAAACGATCATCCAAAAACAATTATTAAAAATGAGATTCCAATTACCTGGTTATCTGTTCCCACATCCAATGTGATGGGTAGGCACTGGTGAGGCTTAATTCCAGCTAAGGCGGTGTACAAAGACAACTTTCCCACGGGAATGCCCATACCATACGCGCCCAGATCACCAAGACCCAATATACGCTCGCCGTCCGTAAATACGATGGCTCTTACGTCTGGCTCTGGCCTAAGAGAAATATATATCAGAGTCATGTGTATTATTGATAAATCAGTGACGCTACAAGCTTTTTAGGTTTCTTAGATTTCTGTATCATGATCCTTTGTCAACCTAATAGGCAAGAACACGCCGTCGACTTTTCGGGTCTAAGGCAAGCCGGTTTCCTCACGATGTTTTCCTTCACCATTTGAGCGAATGTTTAATGTGCAAATAAAATATAAAGAAAATCCATTGTTGCACAGCCGGGGATCGAACCTACAACCTTAGGATGGGATGAGGGATGAGAGTGGCTGAAGCCATTGGCCAACACTGCTCGCAAAGTATTATTGATAGCCAAATAAATAATAGCTAGTAGAAATATTAACACGAATTCCTCTGTTAATCTTCATTGAACTTGAACTTCAAGTAGTTCTCTAATCATTTTAATCAAAACACAGATTCGGCTTAAATTACCTACCAGATAAAATTAAATTAGCAGATAATAATACTTTTAGTACAAATACACAAAAGAAACAAGTTTGACCAAATCTCTGGCACAAGCACAAGTATTACCATATAAAAAACCCAGAGGCACTCACCAGTTTTTAAGTATATTAAATACGTGCCCCTTATCGTTTATGGTAATAAAGAGGCCTCTAGGTCTTCTATAGATGAGACCGAATCGTTGGCAAGCGAGTCCGACAGTCGGAGTGTACACAATTGGAAGATACTTCTCCACATTCTCCGACAGAAGACGGAAAAACAATTTCTCATTTCGATCCTGTAATAATTAAAAATTAAATCATATAACCAAATATTTCACAACTTAAATATTGCGCAATTTGAAATATTAAACAGGTTTTTCAAGATTAACATACTTAATATGTAATAAAATTCACGCAAAATAACATGCATACTATCCCCGTAGCCTAGTCGATTACTTAAGCATATAAAAAATCTAAATACACTAAAACATATCAAAGAATCTGTAATTTTACGAGACCGAACCGTTTCGCAGTTACAGTACATACATTTTGGGAAGCAGAACCAGAGCAGTAACCTATATAAGTCCGAAGTATAGAAATACTTCTTTCCGAAATATCGCATAACAGAATAGTATTTAATGTAGATATCCTTGCTATAGTTTGGACGCCCAAAAATGTTTAATTGTGTGGAAGACAGGAAAACGTCTTTAAAGTCTTTACTCAACGATTACAATTCTTCGATTTTGTTCGGTACTTTAGTTTCCTTTAGTGTGTTCTAAGATAAAAAAAGAATCAAATTTAATTTAAGAAGTAAATAATTCTTAGCCAATAATATGACACAGTGTAAAGATGAGTTAAAGACAAAAAATAACAACCGTACGTGCACGTTCTTACGTATACTCTTTACGTACTGTTCTAAAACATAGACAGTTTGCGAAGAGATTGGGCGTGTCTAGTACTAAAATCTATACTATATGTATGTTTAGAAAAATAATTAATTTAACTTTAAATGCTTGAGTAATCGGCCAATGTAAATAATTAATAACTGGTACCTTTACGACGTCTAATCACCTGTAACTCAACGAGGTAGAGGTATTTGTTGAGGTTGTCCTCGTATCGGTCAATAGATATCCTGCAAATATCCAGCTGTTCTTCTTGCGTTTTGAACTTGGCTGCTAAAAGACCGTGGATTCCGAGGGCTTGACGCTCCTCTAGAGTAAATGCAAGACCCTAAAAGATATTCCAATGAAACGTGCATCAGAAATCTTAAAAAGGAAGTACGACATGGAATCGTCGTGTAAATTAATTTATCACTTTGTCATGCAAAATGCTAGTTCTATTTGGTTATCTTATTACTACACGAAAAAATTTAATAGTATCATTACTCTTCTACTTTGATGATATCCCAAAAAAGTGTGATTAATACGTTACTAGTACAGTATTAGTATTAGTAATAATAGACGTATTATTGGAAGTATACCTATTTAATATATAAGGTACTTTTAGAAAGCCGCGAGTACAAACTGACTTGCACTGTTATAGTAAAATACAGCCATGACCTAACACTTCTACATTTCAGTGAAGCAGAAAATTTATGAACAAATGAAGCTGTTAACGAAATTACTAATTGAAACTTTGCCAACCTCGTATAAAAATTAATTGGCCCAGTAAACGTTGAAATAAGCAAATTCCAGACTTTATAGTTCTTAATCAGGGTAATATCTCTCTTTCCAATTCTTGGTAACCATTTCAGTTCCAGTTTACCGGACATTCAAAATAACTTTCAATGTATTACATAAAACTTTAAAATCACAATCAGGAACTCGCGAGAATCATGTAGAAAGATCTGTTTTGGGTCGGAAGGCATAAATGAGTCCTAACCCGACCGCACAAATAAATATGCGCCCTTTCCAACCAACTAGGGCTTTCCAGAGTTAATAAGGTCTTTTGAACAGTATAACTTATTAAACCTTACCTTGTTGAGCCGAGGGTCTCTTAGATGGTCGATGCCTCGAACCATGTTCGGACAGACAATGTCGCCAGTTACTTCGTGGTAGTTCCGGCATTGTGATAGAGGTGGTTCTAGGAACACTGGACACTTGGTCAGTGCGTACGCAAGAGCCCGATTCGGGCCTATAGCGTTTGTGCAGCATCTAAAATAATCGAGGATTAAATTGTCTGTCAGATTAAAAATTAAATCAAGTAATGTTCATTTCAAATTTACGGTTGTGTTTTTTTTTAGATACAACTATATTCATTTTATGATTGGTGTATAATATCCTATTCATTTCTAATAAAATAAATAATCACAAAAAATAAGATACGAAAACCTGATTTAAAATGGCTAGGTAGTATAATTTTAATGTATATGTAAAAACACAAGGAATGACCTAATTTTGTAAACTACATTTATGGATTTTAATGGAAATGTGACCTAACGACTCTAATGATTAGTTTCCTGGTGTTATTTAGAAATAAAACAAAACATTTATCCATTGGAATATTTTTTATTATCCCGCTCTGAGTTTGAAATCAAAATCAAAATTTCCATTTATTTATCTTGTCTAATAATCTCGTGAAGATTTGTCTAGTGTTCGTTGCGGTATTTCAAATACTGAGGAACTATTTAACATAAATTTAACTATACATATATTAAAACACCTAACCTAACAATTCAATATGATTTATTTATACGTTCTAACACAATGTGTAAAAAATACAAGAAAATATGACATCACAAATACACATACACATCGATTACCTTAGAACTTAAGCAATCTATCAAGGGAAAAAATTAGACAAACAACCATAAAATGAAAAACAAAAATAACTAAAACTAAAAAGATAAAAAATAAAATAACGATAACTAAAACTAAACTATTGTTAAAATAATTTCAATTGATTAAAACTCGTTTCGGTTACCGATACAAAGACATAAGCACACACATATGACCGCTTTTCTCATTCACCTTAATGAAGACAAAATGAATTTGAAATTATAAAAATTATTAAATGTTTCGCGCTTTATAGTGTCATGAATTTGACTTCAGGACAGTTATTTCATTCCAGATTTAATAATTATAAAATTGTAGTCAACGCGTTCATTTTTTAAGGTGTCAACCAATTCATTAAGCTTGGGATTACTACTAGAATGGAACGTTTGAACCCCTGCTGGGTTCTGCTGGATTTTTCCTTATGGATACATTACTATGCATACACGATTAGGAACCTTAAGGTTGTATCCACTACACACGAATTACACTTTCATCATCACTAGTAAACACGTCATCAATAAACATATAAATTATTTATTAAATCGTGACTCATATACCTGTACAACATAGAAACCATTATGAATAATCAATGACTTTTCGAAACATAATAGAAATTTCCCATTAAATATCTCACAATATATTTTTTATATCATTATAAAAAAATTACCACACCTGTATTTGTGTATTAACACTAATTGAAATTTTGATAACACCTTTATCAACAAAATTAAGATTCTAAAAGCCTATATATATATATTTTTCTACAATATGATGTCCAGAAACTTAGCTGGGTTGAAATTTTAATATGATCACATGATGATATTAAAATTTCATGCATTTTATAGTGTAATTAGACACTATTACTTTTGAAGGCAGTTTTAAATACAATTAGACATTTAATAGAAAACTGAAACTTAAGCTAAACCAGTTTCAAACTATTTCTTTTGTATAACAGTTAAAAACTTTACCGTTAACTTTAGTAGAATTCATTAAAAAACTGATTCAAATTGTTTTCTATTAGATACCGAACAATGTTATCAATAGACCTTCTAAAAAGCTATAGATTAACATAAAAATATAAACAAAGTAATAAATCAACAGCTAGCAAATGTAATAAAATTGTAATAATTTTATTTACTATGCTGTACTTTATAATCATCAGCACCAGAAACAATACCTATGATGGGCAAAAACTACATTAAATTATAGATATTATTGTGTTAATTAATATTAGTAAACAATGAAACACATAGTCTATTTCTGTAACTACAAATATTATATATTTCGAGTTACATGTCCAGTGCTGTTGCCAAGAATGAATAAATAGCACTAGCCAAAAATAAGAAGATTAGCTTACAAAATTTTATAACAGGATAAATATCATGTACGTAAGTAAAGAACACAACAATATTACATATGTATTAACAATAATAACATCCAGCCAATTTTGCAGTATTTTTGTGAAAGTGATCATAATGCCAACATATAGACATATAAACAATACATTTTCATTTAAGGAAACTCCTACGTATTTCATAAAATTTAAGAAATGATAAATATATTTGGTAAATATTCGGTATCGCGCCACCAGCGATTTTGAGGCTGTTTTTTTTACAGTCGCGTTATGATCTGTAAACATCATAACTAGTATTGGCGCATGACTTTTTTTGCTAAAAAAAAAATATCCAATTTTCATAGTATTTGGAATTGATTCTTCTGTATTCACACAAGCATAAGTGCTGTGGCCACCTATACTTGTGGGTACAACGAAACCAAACACAAACAGAAACAAAGCATCATAGTCGTATACTACAAAAAAAAACTCTTCCTACGTGCCTCCGATTTTTTATATACACTCTAGGGGTAAGGCACACAAGACCACGTGGATAGTGGCCAGTGGGGTGCTCTGATTCGGTTTTGGGTACTTTTTGATGAGAATTTTTTTTTTACAAAAAAGGTCATGCGCCATCATAACAACACTAGTTATGATGCTGAGAACTCATGACGAAGTCATAAAAAAAATCAGCCTCAAAATCGCTGAAGGCGCAATATGGAATATCATCCATATATTTGTACACTTACGCTACGCTACGCTACACACACATCAATACATTCAAATTATTTATAAATAAATAAAGTAAAGGTTTCGAAAACTAAAGATAAGTAATTATATGTATAAGATTAATAATTTAAAATTTTATAAAAAAAACTTTTCAAGAATTAAGGGCAAATGTGGTATACACGCATTCGCGAAAAATACTTATATGTTATAAATATGTATATATTTTTAATAAAATTAATTTATTTAATTTAGTCTAATGAGTCTAAACCAAAGTCTAATGAATGTGTGATTTGAACATTGTATAAAATAAAAATCCGAAGAATATTATACTAATCCATGGCAACCTAGAGTTCATAAAAATCTAATTACAAATTGGGCAAAATAAAGGTGTCACGTTATGTAAACTCCAAAAATAAACGAGAAGCTATACTTACAGCAAGGATTTGGAGATATTAGAAAACATTTTCAGAGATTCTTTTTCATTTATAATTTAACAAAAGCACAGAAATATCGCTCACTGTTTTACAATTTTTATTTTAAAATATTTTATCGTCCTCCATGTGTAGCACGGTAGGAAGTTCGGCTTCCATAGATTATAAAATTATTGTAAACCTCAAAAATTCTATAGAGAATAGAGTAAAGTCTGCCACAATAAAGAATCCAAAGATTCATGTCGTTCACAGATAGATTACAATTTAGAATAAGTACTAGCATAAAAACCGCACTAAAATAGCAAACGAAGAAAATATATCGTTCTATAATCTATATACGTTGTTTCAAATTTGAATAATGCTTTCGTGTGTTAATTTATATAGGCTTCTTTATGTAATATTTTTTCCGGGCTAATATCATCCTTTACCGACATTTCAATACTTGAAACGGCGCGAAAAAATCCAACTAAGGAACCTACTTCAATAAATATAATAATTTATAGAATACTTGTATTAAAAAATATGTATTAGTTACTTATCAATAAAATGTGTATATCGAATAAGAGCAATATATATATATAAGCCCGAAAGAAACTACAGCTATGAGCTAACTTACATAAAATAAAATATTACGAAATTTTTTATGCGTAAATTTTTAATCATAGGGAGGGCGTTAGATTTTAAACTAATAACTTTTTCCTTCGTTTACCATTTTTACGTAATTTTATGGTTTAGTTCTTGTTCTAGATGGTCTTGGGCTGTGCTTGACTATAACAGAATGTCAATTTTGATTTTTGTGATTTTGTCAAAAAGCTGTCAATCATAAAAACAATATTGGGTGGTATTAAACAGTGATAGAATGGAAATTTCTTACTATTTTGAACTACTTATAGCAGAGGGTTAGATTAATTTTTGTATGGAAGTAACATCTTACTTATATTTAAAAAATGATTCGTGAAGACGATCCCCAATTTCGGATAACACCTGTCCAACAAATGGCATCGGCATGTTCCGGTGCCCTGATAACCTCGCTCTTTAGTGAGTATTTCTTTTATTTACACAACAAAAATATAACAACACAAATTTAAGTAAACAACATGGACTTAATTTACAATTTCAGTGACACCATTAGATGTAGTGAAAATAAGATTACAAGCTCAACAAAAAGCACTACTTTCTAACAAATGTTATTTATATTGTAATGGACTTATGGAACATTTATGTCCTTGTGGTGAAGCAGCATGGATACCACGACGTGTTCATTTCCACGGAACAATGGTATTTTTTATATTATTTCATTAGTATTAGTAGTTGATATCAGCAACTTCTTGCAACAACTTCATAGATTATACCATATACAAAAGTAAACTTTTTGAATAGTCCAAATTACAAAGAAACCCAGTTTTAAGTTACATAAAATAATTTGTATTGCTTTCTAGGATGCTTTCTACAAAATATCAAAAATAGAAGGTGTTACTGCATTATGGTCTGGCTTGAGTCCTACTCTAGCTTTAGCTCTTCCTTGTACTGTTATCTATTTTGTGTCATATGAACAGCTAAGATACAAAATGAAAACGACATACAATACAATAACTGGAAACAGTAAGTCTTTTTAAAATTAGTATTTACTGTTTGGTAGGAACTTAAGAACAATGTAATAAATAGCTTTGTTCAATATATATAATACCACCAGCCACATTTATGTCTGAGTATGGTAAAGGTATGTATGGTAAGTAAAAATGGTAAGTTTCAACAAATTTTTTTTTATTTTATTTAATTGCTATCTTATGTAATTTGAGCCTTAAAATCTTGTCAGGTAATATAAAACATGATAAATATAACCTTGCTTTCAAGGTTTAATTTGCTGACATTAATGTTAGTTAGTTCTTAATTATGATTTTCTTGGCCATTTTAATAAAATTAATTAACACACTATCTTTTTAACTTTCAGTGGGCCAACCAATGTGGATACCATTAATTGCCGGTGCAACTGCTAGAATGACTGCTGTAACACTTGTTAGCCCAGTAGAACTTATTAGGACCAAAATGCAATCTCAGAAATTAACTTATTCAGGTATATATCATAAAGTTCTAATATTAGGAACTTCAATCCGATACCAATTAAACAGGAATTTTTTGTATGTTATTGTACAGTTTACCCTTAAAGAATGGAGAATAAGCTTACAAATACTAAATAAATTGAGTTAAGAGCAAAGTATTATGTTTTAAAATTCAATTATTTTTTAGAGATATCTATAGCTTTACAACAAGTTTTAAAATATGAAGGATTTAAAGGACTGTTTCGAGGACTTAGCTCAACACTCTTGAGAGATGTGCCATTTTCAGGTATTTGGTTTCAATATCTATTATATATATTTGATAATATAGTTATTATTATTATGTATATAAACACACTAGCAGCTTAATATGCTGATGCGTGCGTATTTTGAGATTTGGAGAAACTATCCAATCTATTTTTAAAGGAGGTCAGAGATGGTGTACTGATTACACTTTCTGGAAGCCTGTTCCAGTCGGCCACTACTCAGTTTGGAAGAAAGTTCTTTAGGGAATTTGCGTTATGTTGAGTGGTCTTAACTTTTAAAGAACTACCCCTCAAATGTGTATTTTCACTTAAAATAAAGAGCTTCTCAATTCCTGTAACATTATAGTGGCCAGTGAGGATTTTATAGGTTTCAATAAGATTTCCTCTTAATCTCCTACTTTCTATAAGTAAGGTGACCTGATCATTTTCGTGGCTTTCCTTTGAACCCTTTCAAGCATACTAATATCCTATAGTTGTTACTTATTTTACGCTTAATAAGGTGAGCTGGTAAATTTTATATACTTCCTAAGAATCAATAAATATATATTCTAATTTTAAGAGATGTATTTAATGAACATACCCCAAATAATGTCTAAAATATTTAACATATTTCTTTTCAGGTATTTATTGGACAACATATGAAAAAACTAAGAGAATTTTTGATAAACCTGACTCAGAAAAAAATACATTTCTATTTAATTTTTTCTGTGGTTCAGTTGCTGGAAGTGTAAGTATAATAGGCTATAATATTATAAGAATATAAAATATAAAAGTTATTTGATACACAGAAATATTTAATTTTACAGTCAATTTAATAAGAATTTCAACAGAAATTTTAAATTCCACATGTTGTTTTTTAAAATAGCTATAAGCCCTAAAGCTTTGTTTAATTCTATAAATAAATTCCTTGAGTTCAAAAAGACAAATCTTATACCTAATCAACTGGTCTTTGCAGGTCACATCTGTTGTAAAGATTTTTTGACTAAAGCCCTCAGTAGCTCTCTAAGTTTGTAAAACCTATTAGATAAACTATTCTAATGTTACCAACAATAAACCTCTTTCTTTTTTAGGTGGCAGCTTTTGTAACTCTACCATTTGATGTAATTAAAACACACCAGCAAATTGAATTAGGTGAAAAAGAAATCTATACTGGTTAGTTAATGGTTAGATTTGCAGTTTATTGACAATGATGTTAAAGTTAAAAATTACCAATTTTCTGCCTTACATAATAACTACTTACCTATTACTAGACATAAATAGAAAGTATTCTGCTTTTAGATGGAAAAACACGACAAAGAGCATCAAACATGAATGATATAGCCAAGACTATTTATAGGAATCATGGTATCAAAGGTTTATTTACTGGTTTCCTACCTCGTATATTCAAAGTAGCGCCAGCTTGTGCTATTATGATTGCAACATTTGAATATGGAAAACAATTCTTCCAGAAGTACAACTCCCAGCAATATAAGGAAATGATGCAACGGTAAATAACATCTTTGATATATTAAAAGAATTTGTTATGTCAATCTATGTCATTATATATCCTTGATTTCATATAAATGCGCCTTACAACATGATCCTTTTTTACTAAATTATGATTTTTCACCTCTTCCTACTTTAGTTGGCTATTCCTTAATCCATTACAACATTCCTTAATCCAGTTTTTATTTCAGACAAGGTGTAGATCTTACAATTATTAAAAGTGAATAGTCTTCAAAACATGAGTTAAGCTTAAAGCTTATGTGGTATTTAGGTATAATTATTTTTATTTTTCACATAGTGTAACTTTTAACAAATATGGATGTGGAGTCATGTTTTACAAATGTATCAAGGCATTCCTTAATAAGTATTTTAAACTGTTTTCTTATTTTATATATGTACCTACATCTGTGCGCTCTAATTTTTAATCTTAGTTTTAAATATGTGTTTCTCAGTAAGTGAATTTTCAATTCTTATGAGAAATAAAGTTATTCTTAAACCAAACCAAAAACATTTAAAAAGTACTGCCTTATATTATGTAGCCAATAGCAGTATTTTTTAAAACCTATGGGTTGATTATAGTACTATTTCATATTGACTTTTACAGGTCATACATCTGTTAATTCAGTATTACCATTATATATGCTTTGTTATTACAGACATCACAAGGATATAATAATAGTGAGTCAAAGTTCAGGTGGAAATGATTACTCTTAGCAAATGGACATCAAAAACAAAAACTTTAATGGCTGTAAAATATTCTTAAAAATAATATAAAGCAAAGTATATTATATTTATTATAAGTAGGTGTACAGGAACAAATGTTATGTAGTAATTACATAGAAATTGTAATGTAAAAAATAATTTATTGTATTAAAAGTTTTAGTTGCTTTTACAAAAGAATGTTATTTGTATATGGTTATAATATATATTGTATATTCGAAGCAAAATATTGCATGAAATTTGTTTCATTATGTCTTTGATATGACTATTGGCATATTATTATCATAATTATATACTAAATATTAAAAATCTACATAGACAAACTAACTTTTAGTTAAAAATATACCTTAGAAAGTAAAAAAAATGTTTTATTTTTAACTCATTGGCAAATGGCATTAACTTGGGGCATTGTATTCATATATTATTATTTTCAAACATAGGTGTAATTAGATCTTGTGACAATGGAAAACACAAATAAAATTGATAACAAAGTTTATTATTATTCTTATTAATAGCACGTATAATAGTTTACTAATGTACAATAGGTCCTAAGGGTTCTGCTTTAATATTACCTAGATCTAATCTACTATCTATAGATTCGTCAATTTGGCCCACTATAGCAATATTATCTCCTCGTATTATATGTAATCCAAGAACAACTTGTGCGATACCAGAAGATGAGGAAAATACTCGTTCGTGAGATTCATCCAGAATTATATTTATAGTTTGGTCAAAACCTTTGAGTGTGCCGATAAAATTTCGTCCATCGGCGGTAATTACTGACACTGTTTGGTTAATATAATTTTCCAGTCCTGACGCCATAGTAAAAAAGCACGTGTACGTGTTATATTCAAACTAATAATTAATTAATAATGAAATGTTAAAAGTCCACAAAAATTTAACATATAATAATTTAAGCGATAAGCATTCGGCATAACGCACAGACTAGATTTACACAAACAGCCTCCAAGACCTGACAGACGACAGTTGATAATGCTATATCAATGTTTCTTTTTGTCCTTATTTTTTTTATTTTATGGCCTGGAGGTTTGTCCTTATACTATGACCAAAAAGCACAGATTTCCTTCCTATCGTTACACACTCATATATATGCATAAACTATATTGGTATTTGGTATCTGTGGTCGTTATATTCAGAGTTCAGACTGTACATTTTCAAGAATAATCAATAAATAATTGTGGTTGTCCCTGAACAAATTGTTTATTTACAATTTTTTTATTTCTGATAACTTATTGTATCGTTCATCGCATTTGAATCGCATGCGACAGCTACATCTGAGGTATCCTGGTTTACTCTAACATTTTTAATTTAAAAAAATAGGGAGGAAACTATCTCAAAGTTATAAATGTAATTTTTATAACTATACATTAAAAAACATATTACTAATAATATAATAAAATAAAAATATTGTTTCAGAAACCAGAAACACAGGAAAAAGGTATATACAACTACATCTAGTAACAATGTCAAATGCTATAGTCCAATACATCTTAGTACGTACCGACTTATTACGGGATATGGCATGGTCAGTAGGCTCCGTTGTAGCACAAGCATGTCATGCATCAACAGCTGCTTTGCATCTTTATAAAGATGATGATTATACTAAAAAATACTTATCAGATTTAGACAACATGCACAAAGTAGTATTGGAAGTAAGTTTCATATGATAACATATTTTCCTTCAACACTTATGTGAAAATAAAAATTTCCAGCTTTTTCTGATTCTGTGTGCAACATTAAATAGATTTTTTGATATATTACTGTAATATATGTATTATTTAACTTTCATATAGTACTGTAAATTATCTTTGATATCATAGTTGGTAATTTCTTATTAGAAAAGTTAAAACAATATTTACTATCTGCATCTTAGTATTACAGATAGTGAATTTAATTTTCTTTTTACAATAACCAAAATGTTTATTCAGGTACCTAATGGAGAAGCACTAAATCAGAAAGCAGAAGAGCTCAGTGAGAATTCAATTGACCATAAACTGTGGATTGAACATCCAGAAAACATACCCACTTGCTTAGCTTTGAAACCATATCCCAAAGAAGAAGTAAAAAAATATGTTGGAAAACTAAAGTTATACAGAACCACTGTAATATGCTAAGGCTTTACTGTTAATCATTTTATCTAAACAAGTAGATTTTTTTATTATTTAAAATATTTCATTTTTACTCCACTCTATTGTTTCTGCAAAGTGTAGGTATGTTTAAAATACTAACATTGTAAGTTTAGTTATTTAATATCACACTTGATTGTTATTATAAAGTTGGTAGGTTCATAACTATGTAGTACAAAACAAATGATATGACATTGGAAACTTAATACAAGTGAAGTTGTATCTAATTTTGTGTATTATCATTTTAATAGCTACCCATTATCAAATTATATCTTCTTCTTATAGTGCCATCTTCTTGCGAAGGTTGGTGATCATCATGGCTAGTTTCATTTTGGATGCCGCACTTTTAAACAATGACTTGGTGCTTCGAACAAACCATTGTCTTAAGTTTTTCAACCAGGACGTGCGTCTGCGGCCAGGTCTCCTTCTACCTGCCACTTTGCCTTGTATGATTAGTTGAAGGAGCTCATATTTTTTGGAGTTACGTGAAACGTGTCCGAAAAACTCAAGTTTCCTTTTCTTAACCGTCATAAGCACTTCTTTGTTCTTCTGCATTCTGTCCAGCACGGTTGTATTTCGAAATATTTTAAGCATACTTCGATAAACCCAGATCTCAAACGCTTCCAGTTTTTTGGACATAGTATCTGTCAGCGTCCAAGATTCTACGCCGTAGAGCAGCACAGAGAAGACGTACATAGGTAGTTATTGTAGAGTTAGGTTAGAGGTAGAGATGTGGGGTCGCTCTGCATCTTATACCGCATTTACCATGGAGAGTGTTCAGAGTTGTAGATTAATACCTGCAGCTGAGCTTCATCATCGGACGTCTATGTTGAACCAGCTGCCCACTGAAGTATTTCCAAACTAATTCCACTTAGGGTCCTTCAAGAAAAGAGCGTACAAATTCTTAAAAGACCGGCATTGCACTTGCGAGCCTTCTGGCCTTGAGTGTCCATGGGCGGCGGTATCACTTAACGCGGTATCAGATGACCTCATGCCAGTTTGCGCCCTATTCTATTTTTAAAAAAAACGAACGGGTTGCACTCCGAGAGTGCCGGCAGACGCGAAAACTTGCATATTAACGTTGTGCATTTTTCATATTTTGGAATGGTTAGGGAATAATTTTGCACGAATTGCTTTAATTATCAGTATAAAAGTGCTATCATTTATGTGGTAGAATACAATATTTATTTATTGCGCTATCGTACACAAACATGACAATTTATATTACATACAATACGCTGAGCCAGCTGTCTACTCTCCATACGTCGTCAGTGTGACCAAATCGTTAATAATTAAGCTTTAGACGTTTCGCAAAATGAAACCTTGATATATTGACTTAAGGTCCAATTCCACATGCATCAATGTATCTGAGGAAAGAGACAAATGAATTAAATCCGTAACTTTATAGCACGAAGGTTCATAATCCTTTAAGAAAACATCCGTCTTACGAATTTGTCCTGACGCGAGTTTAAAATTTTTTATCAATATAATTATCATTTACCATACAACAATTTGGTACAAAGCCATTTTCTCCAACAGCGTTTACAATGATCCACCTCGTGGCAAGTGAAATACTTTTAGATGGACCTGCAATATCTTTGCTTGGCCAGCACTTATTCACAGAACATAGCCGTGAATGTAAGTCTCGTAAACTGTATCATTAATTGTTTTATGTGGCTTCTATGGTACGACATAGAACAAAATACGTCGGATGTTGAAATGTTGAAACATTGTAAGCGCCGAATATCTCCTGGCGCGCCTATCTACACTACTGTTATTGTCCCGAGAAAAAATTATCCTTTATGCCGTCTAGCGCTGTATGTTGTAATACTATTAACTAAACAATCTAAAATAAACAAGCGTTTAATACGTTTAACATTTAAAATTTAAACATATTTTGTGCGCAGGAATAATTTAAAAAGCGTTATCTAGCGGTAGTTTTAGGGTAATGTAGGGACTCAATTATGTAAAAATACACATTATTTTAAGAGGAAATTTAACGTAATGTTTTGCCATGAACCCAAGCCCAAGCTCATGCTCTAACTTTTACATATTTAGTCACATTGGTTCTTTTCAGGCTTATCCGATTTTCAAAGGGCATACTCAAATATTAATATTTTTTCTATGTATTGGGTAAGTAATATCGATAAACACTAAATCTTGGACACACTGCAAATACAGATAAGAGTATACTACAGACTCAAATAATCATTAAGAACTCCGAGATTAATAAAAAAGATTTAGATTGTTCTTTGATTGACTTCTATAATAAAATACCTTTACATTGTGTCCAAACCACAATGTTTGTATTGCAATTCGATATTTAACCACTTCAATCGATCCACGATTCGAACCTATCCGCAAACCGACTTATTTGGATAACGGATTCAGTGACATCGCTACTAATGTCAAATCAGTTTTGAAATTTGACTTTTGACGACAACTAGTAAGAAATAAGAATTAATTCTAATTCTGAATTTCTTAGTAATTATAAGATATTTGTTTTAAAGTTTTAGCCCGTTTAAGGTAGATTAATTTTGGATTTAATACGTAATCTAATGTGTAATAGTAGTTTATTGCCCAGTTCAAGTAGGTAAGTTGTATATGTATGAATTCAATTAACTCATCCATAGTCTTCCCGTCTTGTCATGGCTATTTTTTACCAGTCTTCTAAGTTTATGAAATGAAAACACAACATTCTTGCAATATAAATAATGCTGCCTTTTAACAATATACGATCAAAGAATATTGTCAGTATCAAAAAGTTTTACCTAATTACCTTGGCAAGTAATGTTTCTAATCATGAAAAAATAGTTTTATTCATACATGACTCATTGACTCATGAAGATAGGAGATACAGCGGGAAAGCTTGTGAATTTTTAAAAAATGTGTGTGCTTTTTGACAAATTTAGTGAAATAATTTGACTTTTGTATTACAGTTAATAAATTAAGCAAAAAATGGCCTCATCAAATACTTTACAAAAGGCAATCGATCTTGTCACTAAAGCTACAGAAGAAGATAAAAACAAAAACTATGAAGAGGCATTGAGGCTTTATGAACATGGTGTAGAATATTTCCTTCATGCTGTTAAATATGAAGCTCAAGGTGAAAGGGCTAAAGAGAGCATAAGAGCAAAATGTTTACAATATTTAGACAGAGCTGAAAAACTAAAAGAGTATCTTAAAAAAGATAAAAAGAAAAAGCCCATGAAGGCTGGAGAGTCAAACTCTAAAAGTGATGAGAAAAAAAGTGACAGTGATAGTGATTCTGATGATCCAGAAAAGAAAAAATTACAAGGAAAATTAGAAGGTGCCATTGTGGTTGAAAAGCCACATGTCAAGTGGAGTGATGTGGCTGGCCTTGAGGGAGCCAAAGAAGCCCTTAAAGAGGCTGTAATCTTACCTATTAAATTTCCGCACCTATTTACAGGGAAAAGAATACCATGGAAGGGTATCCTTTTGTTTGGTCCTCCTGGTACTGGTAAATCATATCTTGCTAAAGCAGTGGCTACTGAAGCTAACAATTCAACATTTTTTTCAGTCTCTTCATCTGATCTTGTATCAAAATGGCTTGGTGAGTCTGAGAAACTTGTTAAGAATCTCTTTGAACTGGCCAGGCAACATAAACCAAGTATCATCTTCATTGATGAAGTTGATTCTTTATGTTCATCAAGATCTGACAATGAATCAGAATCAGCCCGCAGAATTAAAACAGAGTTTCTTGTGCAAATGCAAGGTGTTGGTAATGACATGGATGGCATTCTTGTACTTGGCGCTACAAATATACCTTGGGTTCTTGATGCAGCTATAAGGAGGCGATTTGAAAAACGAATTTACATTACATTGCCTGAAGAACATGCTAGACTTGATATGTTCAAACTTCATTTAGGAAATACCCGACACGTGCTAACAGAACAAGATATGAAAGTGTTAGCATCTAAAACAGATGGATATTCAGGAGCTGATATAAGTATTGTAGTTAGAGACGCTTTAATGCAACCCGTACGTAAGGTGCAGTCTGCAACACACTTCAAAAAAGTGACTGGACCTAGCCCTACAGATCCCGATATTATTGCTAATGATTTATTAACCCCATGTTCCCCTGGCGACCCTGGGGCTATGGAAATGACTTGGATGGATGTGCCAGGTGACAAATTAGCTGAGCCACCAGTTTCAATGTCCGATATGTTACGTTCCCTTGCAACATCCAAGCCAACTGTAAATGATGAAGATATGATCAAGTTGAAGAAGTTCATGGAAGACTTTGGTCAGGAAGGTTAATATTAATTGTTATAAATCTTATAAAGCACTGAGCTTATATTTGTATAGCATGCTACTTACTTTCATAATGTAAGTTTCTTTTGCAATTCTAATTTCTTGGGATAAGGCCTATAAAAAAGATTGTTTAATGAAATACATCTTTAGAGATTTTTATAAAACCATTATGCTTAAATAGATAGAAGAATTCATGAAAGTTTTTAATTTATATAAAAAAAACAGCTGCATCTTCTTCAAGTTGTATATTTTTTATAGATTTTGCATTTCATAGCCAATCTTTTCTAAAGGAATAATTACCTTTGCTAGCATAATATGTAAACCAACAATTATGGCTATAATGAAATTTGCAATGTTATGACTAACATTTAATATTGCATAATATTTGAAGATTGAGCTAAGCCTTACAGGTAGATTCATAATTAGTTATTAAGTTTCAAGAATCAAAAATTAAAAACATAGGATGTATGTACTAATTTATATATTAAAAGAATTCTATTATTATGTTCTAGTAGTTACAACAACAATATATTATTAAAATTGTGATTTTGTTAAGTATGAATTTATGTTTCAATTTGAAGACCAATGTTGGAATTGAGAGATTTCATAGAGGATAATTTTATATAACTGAGTTATAGCATCTTATAGGTATGAGTAATTAAATTTAATAAAATTATATTTGATGATAACATCATAGTATGTTTGTTATAAAGGCATTTTGATTAAGATTCAAATGTTAGGTATTCAAAATATTTTGCTGTAATTGGATATAATTGAATGTATTTCTTAATTTTTTCTCAACTGTATCTTAACATAGAGGTAATTTCCTTTATTTTTAATAAAATATGATAATAAATATTTGATTTTAAAGATTATTGGAGTTTCTCCTCATAAAATGGGTCAATAATTCAGCATGTATATTGCGGGCGTTTTATCTGTATATCCTCTTGATTTTTTTAATGGACTCTATAATGCTACCTCGTCCCATACACGTGGCTCAGGTAGTGCATATATTAAAATAAAATTGCAGCAATACACAAATTATTTGGGAAAGTTTATATTATTCTATAGGATGTTTCTGTGAATTCGATTTCTACTAGAACTCACTTCACCTTCCTCTACGATTTGCCGCATACGCGTGATCGACCATGGCGGGGGCAATGTTGTGAACCCACGTTGTGAAGAGCGATTTAGCGACGGACATAGATAACCGTTGCAGTTTCCATGTCCGACAAAAATAAAAAGTAAATAGCTCTGTGTTTAAAAAATTATGGAAAAATAAAAGTGAATTCTATAATATTTTTTTTTTTTTTTTTTATAAAACGGGGCAAACGGGCAGGAGGCTCACCTGATGTTAAGTGACACCGCCGCCCATGGACACTCTCAATGCCAGAGGGCTCGCGAGTGCGTTGCCGGCCTTTCAGGAATCGGTACGCTCTTTTCTTGAAGGACCCTAAGTCGAATTGGTTCGGAAATACCTCACTGGGCAGCTGGTTCCACAAAGTGGTGGTGCGCGGCAAAAACTGCCTTGAAAAACGCTCAGTTGTGGAACGGCGGACGTCGAGGTGATACGGGTGGAATTTCGTACTCTGCCTCGACGTCCGATGACGAAACTCAGCTGCAGGTATTAATCCGGACAACTCCTCTGAACACTCTCCATGGTAAATGCGGTAGAAGATGCAGAGAGACCCCACATCTCTACGCAACGCCAAAGGATACTAGCAGAAAATATACTAGCAGACCGGCCAAGCGTTGCTTTGGCTAAGGTTTTTGTTATATTACATAGTAGTAAACTATTCAAGGGAAACGGTAGGAGAACACCAGTCATTGGGACCACCATGCTTTATTGCTGGTTATGCCATTAAATTGTAGCTTATGTGAAACGTTGGTACTTTCAACACAGCGCCATCTGTTAGAATTGTGACTGTCAAATAATAAACAAATATTTTGCAATAACATAATATTGCGGGTATAAATTGAGATGTAAGCTATCCTATCTTTTAAGTTAGATCAAACTGCACACGGTGTGCAAATTTGATTGATATCGGTTCGGTAGTTTAGGAGTCCATAGCGGACAAACAACGTGACACGTAATTTATATATAATATAAGATTTACAGAACACAGTCATTGGCATATTGAAATGAATTAAGTATGTATCTTGTAATTTAGTAGGATTTTCTTGTTTATTAAATAGTAACTGAGTTAGGTATCTATATTAATGACAAAAAAATGTTTATATTCTTGGTGCGGTTATAAAAATAAAATTAATAATACAAACTTTAGTAAAGATTTTCTTTCAAAAAAATTTATTTACATATTTTATTTATCATGATAAACTTTGATATAAAAATACATTACTGATGATAATCATTATTGGACTAAAGCTCGTTTCTATGTGGCGATTCGATGAATTGGTTTCTGTAATAAAAATAATAAAGTGTTAATAACTTTGGATTTAGTGTAATATCAATGTTAGCCTTGTGGCTAATTAGCTTGAACCGTATAAGGAAAAAAATCAAATGAAAAGCCTTGAAAGCGTCATGTTCTAGACACTATAATCGACGATGTTAAAAAGGGCATACTTATAAATTTTACTTGTCTTTAGCAAAATTAATCTATAAAATTACAATCGGAGGTTACGCCTATCACTAAAGTTAAGATTACGGGAATAGACAAACATATTTCATGGATTTAGAACATTGTATGGTTCCACTCTAGGGAAATCGACTACATTGGTTATATGTACTCAATTCGCAATTCGATGACGCAGTCCAGTCGAGATTGATTATACATAAAGTATTTATAATCTAACCCATATTTTTAACGTTATATTCCATTAGAAAAGGCAACAAAGATAATTAAATAATAAAATTCAATGTAAACAGTACGACCAGAATCCCAACTAAGGTAAGCAACGTTTATTTAAGGCAATAAACCGCCCTTGAAAGTCTTCCCTAAATAAAATTCGTCTTTGTGTGTCCTAAAGTATTTTTGCCGTTAAATTTCAATCATCAACCCCCATAATTAGATATTAATACTCTCCACCCCTGCATTTTATTGGCCGTAGGTAAGGTAACGCTATTATCCAGTAATATAATGTAGGTGTATTTTATTGACTTGCTATTTTAGATGTCTACATAGGGAGATATGAAAAGTTCGTGTATACATAGTTTTACACCTTTTGGTATAATGTTTACGCGACTGGTTGAAGTTGACTTGACTTCGACTTAAAGGAAGGATCGTCGACTAGGCCCAGTGGCTGATGTCGAGAAGTTATATATCTTTAGCGGACGAAAGGAACCCCTTTATCGCTTTTCAGGATGTGATTGTAGGTGTTGCTACAAAGTTTATGTTAATAACAACTCCATTACCTATTATAACTGTTCTCTCCCGCTTATGATTTCCTATGCTGGCAATGCATCGCACCCGCATATGAGGCCTGGCCTGCGCTCGAAGACCCAAAGTTGAAATATAAAAGCCTTGTGGTATTGGTTCAGGATCGTATTCTATCAACAACGATCTATCCGATACCTGAAAAATGTAAATAATAGTTACAATAGACCATATATAAGAGAGGAAATCGAATTAATTTAAGTGCAATTTTCACACAATCATAATTGCTTATCATTTTTATTATTCATCAGCTTAGAAGCTTCTGGTAGACATATAGAGATAAATTATTGGACTACTTTAAGTACGGCCGTGGAATAATTAAGGCAACTTTCAACACTTTTACTTATTTATAAATTGGCAAAAGAAAAGTTTCAATACTTATTTGGGTTTATTAAGTTTGCGAATTTTTTACCGCAAATGTGACCCTCAATCATTGAATTTTTTCGATCATGTGACAGGCGTAGGATGTGATAAACTTTTTTGTTATTGAAAGAACCAACCAAAAATACTCGACAAATCTTTTTTCCTATAGTACGAGCTTAACTCTCTGTATTAATACGATAAACCTACGTATAGATCATTTGTTGACGATTCTTAAAACATTAACTATTCGATGACAACAATTATATTTATAATATTGTATCTGATTGAGATTAACCTGTTATATTTTAATTAGACCCAAGCTGTTTTAACCTATAATTAAAGTATTGTATTCCACAATTAAAGTTCCTCTCAAAACCGAATGCGGCAGTTGAGAGTGGTAGAGTTTTATATATTTTAATATAAGTACAACGGAAAAAGTTTTCATTCAAATACTTATGAAAGCTGGAAATTCGACGTTTTTCAGATTTTAAAAATACGCGACTGAAGAGCTCAAGCTGAAAACCCTTTTTGTTTTCGGTTCCATTCAACGACATTCCATTCGATATGAGATAGCTTCAAAATCAATTCAGATTAAGAGCGTTTCTTTTTTGTTAAGAAATTACGATATAGCAAAAGTGAGTTGAAAATTTTTAGTACAAGGATATTGCTTTAAGTGAAAGTTTAGTAGAAAGTTCATACTGCAAGGAACTTCTGATTCAAGTTCTGCTATTACAAACAATTAAAAAAAAAAGGGTGCGTGTACTTTATAGTCAATAAAGTTCAGTTTACATTTAAAAATTAAATAAATAAATATTTATTAATATTATATTTATTATTATTTTCTAATATTAATTAGTATTGATTTAAATATTCAATTTAAATCACTTCTGATTATGATTCAGACGCACATATAAAATTCGTACTTTGTTTTATTTAACTTGTATAATGAAAACACGTGTTTTAAATGTAGAAACTCAAAGCATAACTCAAAGGATAAATATTATAAATATAAATACACGTACACGCCACTAACTTCATTCTGTTAATTTTGTGTCACGGTGCGCGCGCATCGTAAAATATCACTCTCATCAATTTTTCATAACGCGCCTAATAACTAATAACTTCAAAAAAATTCATTCAGGATAATCTTTTTTCCTTAGACGAAATTATAAAACTACTAGTATTTTTATACACGCAAACTTACGACGAGCAACAATATGGATGAATTTAGTGAAACATCAACATATTGGCCTTGGGCTTTGGCTATTTCGAACCTGGTCTCCTTGTCTATATTTATATGTATACTGGTCTTCTTAGCAATAATTATGTCTTTTTAAATACAGATGCTTGAAAACTATTTATTTAATTTATTAAAATGTTTACCATATGTCCATCCATTTGCCATTCTAAAGCCGGTGCTGGAAATGCTTTAGCCGATGTGCAATTGACGTCCAGTGGCTCATGTAATTCATATATTCGTTCATGCCCAACTATGCGTGGGTTTTCACGCGAGAAATCTGAAAATTGTATGGGATTCATAACATCAATAGCCGTCAATCTAGACTGGTTTATGCACTGGTGTATAATGCCTCCGTAGCTCAGACGAAAAAATAACAGTGAACGTTGGTAATAATATCCCTGCCTGCCCTTTAGAGGTAGTGACGAACAGGGACATTAACAATTACGCCCGCCTTCCACTGCGAGCGGAACGGACCCATTACGGACTCCGCTATACTCGTAACGATGTTTTCATACATTTTTCATTTTCATTTCATTTTCATTTCCGTGTAAAACTCGGTCAACTCGCTAACCTCATATGTGACACATTCAACTCGCTCTTTCCGCGGCGCACGTCTCTGCTTTGGTGGAAGCACATGTATGAAAATCATCATTACGAGTATAGCGGAGTCCGTAATGGGTCCGTTCCGCTCGCAGTGGAAGGCGCCATTACGAGTATTATTCGACGGCTAACTCGGCACTCATATCTTATTTTTCACCAAATAGGTCTTTACTATAATTTTATGTTACTAGGTCATCGTTATTATAGAGAAATGGGTTTTACTTTAATGGGATAAAAACTTTGAAAATTAGGTTACATTTTTACCTACATGAACTTTTATCATGACTGAACATTTCAACCAAATTATGTTTATACCGCATTAAGGTATTCAGTTGTAAACACGCCTAAAAGCGTAAGTTGACTCACAATAAACTTCCATGAAAGCCTCAGATTGTGCGGAGTGAAAAGAGGGCGCCTCTTCAGACACTTCGCAGCGGTAGAGGCCTCGGGACTTTAACGTCAGGTCCCGAAGGTGCACGCGCCGAGCGCTTGACCTCTCCAGCTGTTGAGGTTTTTATTAGTTTTTATAATTACTTCCTTAATTTATCTCATAATAACTAGATAGACTATGTACACTTTAAACTCTCGTAATAATATATTATAAGCATGATCGTGGTTTTAGACATAAATAGGTAAAGGAATTGTTGGAAGATTGGTAATAATACATTTATGTATAGTTAGTTTTCGTTTCACTTATTTACGCGGTTTTAAATAACTTTTTAAACCAAACGTAAGAAATAAAGACGAGGACAGTGATGGCCTAGTAGTTTCATCGTACGACTCTTATCCCTGAGGTCGTTGATTCGAACTCGGTGAACCAATGGATTTTTTTCTATATGCGCAATTAAAACTCGTACAGTAAAGGAAAACATCGTGAGACACTTGCCTATTAGAAAAAAAAATCAATGATCATGAAAACAAGATATGATAAGATGACACGAACGATACAGGAATTTGGCAGCCAGACCTAAGCCTGTCTTTTTTAACGGTTTGGAACATAGCTTTGCTGCGTAAAACTAACGTATATACTAAGTATAAGTAGGATATTCAATATGTACGCTTGATGAAATCTGAAGATGAATTGCTAAGCTATTAATATAAATAATGTTAACTTTACACAGTATTTCTAATGAAATAAGAAGTTATATTAGCCACATATTACAGTTTTTGGTACTCAGGTAAGAATACTATGTTAAAGTGAACTCACGCTAGTCAATATTTAATATAGATACCGGAATATTCAGTAACGATTTTTTATATTTGTTAATTATGTATGAGCAAGTTGACTGGCTGAAAATAATACATTATTATCTCTATATTAATACTAGGTAACTAACCAATGATTGGCGGTTTTAATGTCGTAAATTCGATTAATAAAAAAGTTTTACATGTGTAGTATTGATTGATGTGATTCGCATTTTTTACTACAATATATTTTGTGTAAGTTAATTTGTTTATGGCGTTTCTGTAACCTACAGAAACGCCATAAACAAATTAACTTACAATATTTAGATCATAGTGTGAATAATAGTTTCATTATTAACAATGCCGTCTGAAATCTCGATCTTCAATATCATCTACACGAATACTGTCCAAGAAAATAATTATTGCTTCGTCGGGAATCGAACCCAAGATCTTCTGTACACACGAATTATGTCTTACCAAGTAAGCAAATGCATTAAATATAAATGCTTAAAATTAAAGTAAAAATTGACAATATTAAATTAAAACTTGTAGTTTTTAATGATATTTTTCAAGATGTTACACTTTTAGGTAAAACAACGATCATACATACATCAACTTTAACACCCTCCAATCTATGCGCGTGTTGTGGAGGCCTCAAACGCGGCATATATCTGTAGAACTCCTCATTATCCCTATACCACTTAACTGAGTATAACTTCCCTCCTTCCAAATCGTAGTCACAAGTCAGAGTGACAGATTCTCCACGTTGTTTCATACTTGGTACGGATATAGCAATGATTTGAAGGGTGTGTGACACTGGAAATTATAGAACGATAAACTTTATAAATTATTAATTTAAACATGTAAACAAAATGGAACAGCTAACAAAAATCACTGGGTTTTCTACTTTCTACTATCCAGAAATACGTAGCGTAATAATTCTGAACTGCTTTTGATAAAACTTGGACTGTTGAAATTGAAATCATCTAGATTTGTTTAATCTTTCAAGAAAAATTTTGTATAACCACATATTTTTAAATTATTTTAATTTCGGGAGGATTTTATAAAAAATTATTCATTCTATTTTGAATGTTTGATTATTGTTTTAAAAAAAAAAATAATTTCCTAATTTTTCACATGAAGTGGAATTGAAAGTAAACCAATAGTTGTTATTGCGTTGCACCCTTGACACTCGCCGAGTACCATTTTGTTCAAAAATTTGAATATAACGCTTAGGTTTGTGTCGGTACTATTATAGGTACCTTAAAGTCTCCATTTGAGGACAAGAAAACTCTGCCCCTCCCAACACCACAGTAATCAAAGCTATCAAGGCCGGATAGTAAAAATCTGTCAAAACAGAAGTTGATGGATTTGCAGATGGTGTCAGTAGGAAAACAGTAAAAAGGTTTTAAATGAAGATTTGTTCCTACAAAAAAGGTGCACTTACTTAATGTTCGTCTAAAACAATAAGGCTTAAGAGATCGGTGTTGTTTACGTACCAAAAACCCACCTATATCCTCTTTACGACGAAAATTTTTCGATATTGAAGAGAAGTACAATAAACGAATTATACAGTGTACGCTAGGAGTTCTGAAGAAGCTGAAAATAAAGTTCCAAGGTCAACATGACATATCCATCATCAGTAATGGTTTGGTTGGGAGTGTCCTCATTAAGGGCTAACTGAGGTTAATTTTTTTCGAAAAGGGGGTCAAAACCATCTACAGTGTACCAAGAGACGGTTTTGTATCGCCTTGTCAAAGACATGTCCACACCCTATTTCGACATCACTTCGTGTTCCAGCAGGACTCTCTCTCATACAAACCAAGACCACTAAAGCCTGGTTTGAGCGTCAAAACATCGTTTTAATTAGACATGAGGATTGGCCTTCCTCCAGTCCACCTTAATCCTTTGACCAAAATTATGACAGGGCTTAGAGAGGAAGGTCTGTATAAACCTCATGAAAATTTGGAGAGTCTGAAGTCATCTTTAAAAACCAGTACTGAAATCGACACAATATGGTCTCTCATATATGACTGGCCGCGACGCTTAAGGGCCTGTATTAAAAATGAGGGAGGTTATTTCGAATATTTTTATGCTTTTTTTATTCCTTAATTAATGTACTAAGAATTGATATATCACTCATTACAAACTGATCAGTACTTTTGTTTTTATCATTATTTCCATTTATGACAGAACTTTGGGACCACATATACAAAAACGAATTTATTTATTAATTTATTGATATAATCCAAATTCTAAAATATCACATAATAACAAGTCTAATACATGTAAATGTAGTTTATTATTTAATTAACACGTAATTGCACTTAAAATCACAGAAGTCGTCGAGTGTAACGGTAGTTCTTATCTCTCATAACGTATATTGAGAAAGAGACAAAATTGATTGGAGGAAGTACAAAATATTTAAATATACCTTATATGAAAATATAGAACACAATTTATGAAAATTACAAAAATAATTATAAACAAAGAAATGTATGAAGTTACATAGAATTAGTAAAATAAAACTTGTATACCTTTTAGATGAAACACAAGGAAACATAAACACACGATTCTAAACATCATTTTCTCACACTTAAAATTTACATTTCTAATTAATTTGCTTAATTTAGCGCATTATAATGTCATTGCGTTTTAAAATTATTATAGCACTCCAAGCGAGTGCAACGTAGCGGGTTCAGCGAGCAACTGTTGCTACGAAATGCTACGCGCGGTAATGCTACGGGCTACATCGTTCATGCAACTCGAATAATACGATTATAAATGAACGTTCTAAAATCGGGTTAGGATATGGGATGTGACTTGAAAATAACGAGATTAATGTATTTTATTCATCCCAAAACTTTTGACGAATATTTGGATATAATGGTTCTACGAAAAATTGGGATATGCAAACTAATTTCTCAAAAATATTAGACAGGGAATTAAGTAGAGAAAGACAATCGATTTTTTACGCTAATTTATGGTAGCCTACAATTATCTACCTTTTGTGATAAATGAATTTCGAATATCGAACTATAAATTACAATAATCAAAGTGGACTTAAATATAGATAAGAAAAGGGAATTTTCTTTTACAATTCTCATCTTAATGAAAACGTTATAGGCTTTAAGAGGATTTATTTTGGGGTTTCGCGCGATTATTGCCGTATCAAAGTGCTACCCGCTGGATTAGCAGATTTAATAAATAGATAATTTGCTAATGGCGGAGTGCTGTTGTCCATTTGCGAAAGATATTTTACATGAATATCAATTATTGTAAGAATGATGTGTAACACAATTGACCTAACATATACAGAATCACAGATAAAAATAGATTAATTATTTACATTGAATTTAAATATAATGTTAACTTCTTTAGTTAAAACATATATATCAGCATAGTGTCCGTCGAGTCCTCTGGCATTGAGTGTGTCCATGGGCGGCGGTATCACTTAACATCAGATGAGCCTCCTGCCCGTTTGTCCCCTGTTCTATAAAAAAATTTAAAAAAGTTAGCAAAAAACAAAAAATCACTCTTGCCTCTTGTATATTTTGGTCTTTGGGCATCAATAAACCCTTCAGTGGATGTTTTTGTCCCAGGATCTTTATATGCTGATGTAAAAAGGGTTTTAAAGTTGATAATAATTTTGCACATTAAAATATAAAATTGTGTCATGTTCAAAACGAATTAAATTTCTTCCCATAACTATTTAACTACGATACTATCTAGTTAAAGATGAAATAAAGTTCACTCGATAACAATACCGCAGCGCAGTATTCAATAAATCGTTTCGACTTTACAATTTCTTTTATAGTTCGGCCCACATTCAATGTTATAAAATAGAACGAATAATAGAATATTTTGACGATGCAATGGAAAACCCCTGCACTAACCACGTATTATTTGAAGCAGGAATTCACTTTGATTTGCTGGCTAACGACTTATCTTGGTACCTTTGAATAATTTTTAAAATTATCTGAATTAAGCTTAAAATATTCCCTTGTTGGATCAGCAAAACCAGATTAAACGTTTGCATTGAGTCCGACTACCTTATTAAAAATTGATGGTATCAAATAAATTTGATATTTATGATATTTTAATTATAAAGAGTCCTACCCTTCTTTTGAATTTAAAGACATCTTTAGTGATTACAGTTGTGAAGTGGAAGTAATTTGTATAACATCATTAGATCTTGTTAATTTAAATAGAACTACGGCACGTAAAATTAAAGATAATATTGAATAAAAAGTTCTTTTTACCTAACAAGTAGGTCACTGGTTCAGTTTATCAGCACCCCATTCCTATTCCTATTTTCTATATTAAAGTAAAAATAAATACAGAATTATAAAACATTACATGCTTTTATTGCGGTTTGATAAAAGTATTATTAATGCTGTGGGTAATTGGGATAGCTGTGCCCGGCACTTTTAATTATGTATACTTTGTATAATAATGCAGCATTAATATACGTTTTAATGAATATTATGTCTGTGATGTTCTCGCAATGTATTCAGAAATTATCAAGAAATAATGACTTCTTAAGACTTGAATGAGCCTCGAACGAAGATTAAGTAATGAAAATGTACTGAGAAATGTGCGTACTAACCACTAAAGTCACAATCTAAATTTATTAACTGTTAATCAATTTGGATTGTGTTTGGTGATAAAAGTTTTAAAGAAAAATATATAAAAAAGAGTCATACTACCAAACCCAAGCCATTCTACAATTGGAATTACTAACTATTACAATACTTTTACGACATACACATTACACAGAGGATCTCCATAATAACAGTCTATCACGTAGTAAAGCTCGTTCGCTTCAAGTAGAAACACTTTTAAATATAAAATATTAACTAGACATCCATTTGCATACTAATAATATAATCAGTATTTTATCCATCGCTAGTCTAGGTATTAGATAATAACCGTTTATCCGGTTTCAATAAAGCGCCTTTGTACCTACCTGCCTCGTGCTGACTTTATCAAGTCGACAAAGTGTTCATTTCCCAAGTTCCTCCTACAAATTGGATACTTACCTTACTAAACACTTATTTGAATTACCTGAAGACCGTCAGGTGACTAGCAAGAGCACCGGCTTCTAATGAAAATTTAGAAGACCAGGAGACGGTAAAATTATACAACAAGAAATTGAAAAATATAATTCCTTCCTTCGTATTTACAATTAATTTATGCAATGAAAATTACAGTTGATTTTGCTCCGTTTAACTTTTTCTCAACAGAATAGCGACCTCAACTCCTATTAAGTTTTAATAGTTAATGAGTCGTGCACTAGATGTTCTCAAGTTTTCACAAAAATGCATTAAAAAATCTAACCTAACTTCTTTGCACTTTTAAGGCAAGTGTGTGTCTTTTGTGTATTCTTTTGCCGGAAATGAAATTGCATGGAATTCGGATTATATAACGCATTGAATGAAACCAAGTACTTGTACGGCTGAACTGAAGTGGGTGCTACAAGCAACATTTTTTTCCATATTGACAAAGTCCAGTAAAACGTAAATATAAAGCATGTTATTTTTAAGGCTATGACTACCGACCTGAAACAATAAGAAATACATATGCATTAAACACTGAAAACAAGATTTTTATTAAATTACAAAGATGGAATATTTAAAATATTCATTTCGATGATAAGACCCTAGACGGTGTAGTATTAAAGCGCTTTTTTGCAATAAAAATACTGTACGCGCAATTCAGAATTTTTAATTGCATTCAATAAACCTAATGTGATCAAGCATCCGCTTCATTTCATCTAACTTCAATGGGTTGATCGAAATGAAAATAATCCACTATGTTAATTTGATATTGAGCCAATGCACGTTGTGCAGTGAACTGAGGCGAGTTTTCATTTACAATATGCTAAACAGGAACCTAATTTAAATCTGTAATTCATTATTATACAAAATTGTATAATCTAGAACTTTACAAGTATGTTTTACAACTTTACAATGTTATAAGATTTAGCTGATGTATATTTATTTATTCACAGTTCGTCACACAACACAAAAACGAATTAAAAGAAATGAAATTTTAAAAAAAACACAGTGCAACGGGCCTAGATTATAAAAATATAGATATAAACTAATATCAATCACTTATGTTAAATAATTTTTTGGGTGCCCCTTATTGCATTAGAAGGTGAAAGATGCTTGCCAATTATACAATGTTGGTAAATTAAAATCATCATAATTAGTAAGACAAGACAAATACACTTAAATAAGCGAATTCAGTGTTTAAATTGTATGAAATTGCTACACCAGAAAGCGTTCCATTTGTTGACAATACAATTGAATAATTTTGCTAACCAAATAATTTAGTTATAGAATTCTGGAATATATGAAGCGGTGAGTGTTCCAGTATATTATGCACTGTGTTATTTAATTAGTGATCTATGCGGAAATAATGTCACCAAATATCGGGTAATAATAAATGAATTAAGGGAATTTAAATTTCTACCATACTCTGAATTAATAAAAATAACATGCTTATGTTGTGAAAATTAATTATCAATCAAAGCTCTAAATCAATTTTTTTATCTATAGCATTCTTGTTAGATGACAGTTTTTGTTTTCATTATTACTAGCCTTTACCTTACCTGACTAAAGTCAGTACAAACGCACACATAGTGTAATATTCGTACATGCTGGGCACAAGTAGTTTTTACTTAAAAAGGCCCCACATATTGTATATAATTTAAGATAGTATATGGTAATAGTGTACAGTCGTAGTTATTTACATAAATCACATTAAATTAAATTAAGTTAATATTCTTCTTCAATCGCGCCTCTCATTTCTGAAACGTATATTAGTGTCGCCGCACTATTTCCTCCACTCTCCCCTGTCTTGAGAAAGCCTCAGCACCTGAGTGATGTTAAGATATGTAAGGGACGTTATTTGATCCATCTAGAGAGAAGGGGAACGGCCTCGAAGTCTAGTACGCTCCTCAATATAAGATCAAATTAAAAAGGAAATGCCAATATCACGTAATATAAAATAAATGTAAGTTATTAACTAGTTCTAAAATACAATTCACTTTACTAACGATGAGGCCAAAAGAGTAAGTAAAACTAGTGAATGTTGTGGTATTAAAAAAAGTATAATAAAATTTGACATGTCGGATATAAGAGCAAGGATTACTAATCGCAATAATTTGCTAGGCAAGTCGCCTAAAGTTTGTAAATAATGCATAGAGGTGATGATTTCAAAATGCTGAGTGAGAATAATGGTTAAAGGACGCTTAAACTCGAGTACATAAAGAGGTGAGTAAAGTTAACCTTTGTTTGGAACACGACATTCGATACTTAAATGGCAGCCGTACTAACAAGTGGCGGGAAGAAAATAATTTGTGCTGAAATTGCTCACGACAGTCTACAGTTTTCCTAGAGAAAAGTTATTACTGCAACTGCGACTTTTGAAGTCCGATTTATATTAGTATCGTAAAATGTATCATTTATTGTATTGCATAAAAAATATTTATTATTATTAATATATAATGATACGGTGTATGAGGATGAATAATATTTTAGTTGTTCGGTCTTTGACGTGCTTTAATCTTACAAGGT